TAAAGTTCTTTAGTTATTGATCAGAAACCGTTATTGCTTACAAGGTCAATGTGACCTTGACCTTTGACCCCTTGACCCCAAAATCAATAGGGGTCATCTACTGATCATGACCAATCACCATACCAAGTTTGAAGTTCCTAGGCCTTAAAGTTCTTTAGTTATTGATTGGAAACCGTTTTTGCTTACAAGGTCAATGTGACCTTGACCTTTGACCCCTTGACCCCAAAATCAATAGAGATCATCTACTGATCATGACCAATCACCATACCAAGTTTGAAGTTCCTAGGCCTTAAGGTTCTTTATTTATTGATCGGAAACCGTTTTTGCTTACAAGGTCAATGTGACCTTGACCTTTGACCCTTTGACCCCAAAATCAATAGGGGTCATCTACTGGTCATGACCAATCACCATACCAAGTTTGAAGTTCCTAGGCCTAAGGGTTCTTTCGTTATTGATCGGAAATCGTTTTTACCTACAAGGTCAATGTGACCTTGACCTTTGACCCCTTAACCCCAAAATCATTAGGGGTCATCTGCTGGTCATGACCAATCACCATACCAAGTTTGAAGTTCCTAGGCCTAAGGGTTCTTTTGTTAATGATCAGAAACGTTTTTACCCAAGAGGTCAATGTGACCTTGACCTTTGACCCTTGACCCCAAAATCAATAGGGGTCATCTACTGATCATGACCAATCACCATACCAAGTTTGAAGTTCCTAGGCCTTAAAGTTCTTTAGTTATTGATCAGAAACCGTTATTGCTTACAAGGTCAATGTGACCTTGACCTTTGACCCCTTGACCCCAAAATCAATAGGGGTCATCTACTGATCATGACCAATCACCATACCAAGTTTGAAGTTCCTAGGCCTAAGGGTTCTTTCGTTATTGATCGAAAATCGTTTTTACCAACAAGGTCAATGTGACCTTGACCTTTGACCCTTAACCCTAAAATCATTAGGGGTCATCTGCTGGTCATGACCAATCACCACATCAAGTTTGAAGTTCCTAGGCCTAAGGGTACTTTTTTTAATGATCAGAAACCGTTTTTTACCCAAGAGGTCAATGTGACCTTGACCTTTGACCCCTTGACCCCAAAATCAATAGGGGGTCATCTACTGATCATGACCAATCACCATACCAAGTTTGAAGTTCCTAGGCCTTAAAGTTCTTTAGTTATTGATCAGAAACCGTTATTGCTTACAAGGTCAATGTGACCTTGACATTTAACCCCTTGACCCCAAAATCAATAGGGGTCATCTACTGATCATGACCAATCACCATACCAAGTTTGAAGTTCCTAGGCCTTAAAGTTCTTTAGTTATTGATTGGAAACCGTTTTTTGCTTACAAGGTCAATGTGACCTTGACCTTTGACCCCTTGACCCTAAAATCAATAGGGGTCATCTGCTGGTCATGACCAATCATCATACCAAGTTTGAAGTTCCTAGGCCTAAGGGTTCTTTTGTTAATGATCAGAAACCGTTTTTACCCAAGAGGTCAATGTGACCTTGACCTTTGACCCCTTGACCCCAAAATCAATAGGGGTCATCTACTGGTCATGACCAATCACCATACCAAGTTTGAAGTTCCTAGGCCTTAAAGTTCTTTAGTTATTGATCAGAAACCGTTATTGCTTACAAGGTCAATGTGACCTTGACCTTTGACCCCTTGACCCCAAAATCAATAGGGGTCATCTACTGATCATGACCAATCACCATACCAAGTTTGAAGTTCCTAGGCCTAAGGGTTCTTTAGTTATTGATCAGAAACCGTTATTTGCTTACAAGGTCAATGTGACCTTGATCTTTGACCCTTGACCCCAAAATCAATAGGGGTCATCTACTGATCATGACCAATCACCATACCAAGTTTGAAGTTCCTAGGCCTAAAAGTTCTTTAGTTATTGATTGGAAACCGTTTTTGCTTACAAGGTCAATGTGACCTTGACCTTTGACCCCTTGACCCCAAAATCAATAGAGATCATCTACTGATCATGACCAATCACCATACCAAGTTTGAAGTTCCTAGGCCTTAAGGTTCTTTAGTTATTGATCGGAAACCGTTTTTGCTTACAAGGTCAATGTGACCTTGACCTTTAACCCTTTGACCCCAAAATCAATAGGGGTCATCTACTGGTCATGACCAATCAGCATACCAAGTTTGAAGTTCCTAGGCCTAAGGGTTCTTTCGTTATTGATCGGAAATCGTTTTTACCTACAAGGTCAATGTGACCTTGACCTTTGACCCCTTAACCCCAAAATCATTAGGGGTCATCTGCTGGTCATGACCAATCACCATACCAAGTTTGAAGTTCCTAGGCCTAAGGGTTCTTTTGTTAATGATCAGAAACCGTTTTTACCCAAGAGGTCAATGTGACCTTGACCTTTGACCCCTTGACCCCAAAATCAATAGGGGTCATCTACTGATCATGACCAATCACCATACCAAGTTTGAAGTTCCTAGGCCTTAAAGTTCTTTAGTTATTGATCAGAAACCGTTATTGCTTACAAGGTCAATGTGACCTTGACCTTTGACCCCTTGACCCCAAAATCAATAGGGGTCATCTACTGATCATGACCAATCACCATACCAAGTTTGAAGTTCCTAGGCCTAAGGGTTCTTTCGTTATTGATCGGAAATCGTTTTTACCTACAAGGTCAATGTGACCTTGACCTTTGACCCCTTAACCCCAAAATCAATAGGGGTCATCTGCTGGTCATGACCAATCACCATACCAAGTTTGAAGTTCCTAGGCCTAAGGGTTCTTTTGTTAATGATCAGAAACCGTTTTTACCCAAGAGGTCAATGTGACCTTGACCTTTGACCCCTTGACCCCAAAATCAATAGGGGTCATCTACTGATCATGACCAATCACCATACCAAGTTTGAAGTTCCTAGGCCTTAAAGTTCTTTAGTTATTGATCAGAAACCGTTATTGCTTACAAGGTCAATGTGACCTTGACCTTTGACCCCTTGACCCCAAAATCAATAGGGGTCATCTACTGATCATGACCAATCACCATACCAAGTTTGAAGTTCCTAGGCCTTAAAGTTCTTTAGTTATTGATTGGAAACCGTTTTTGCTTACAAGGTCAATGTGACCTTGACCTTTGACCCCTTGACCCTAAAATCAATAGGGATCATCTACTGATCATGACCAATCACCATACCAAGTTTGAAGTTCCTAGGCCTTAAGGTTCTTTAGTTATTGATCGGAAACCGTTTTTGCTTACAAGGTCAATGTGACCTTGAACTTTCACCCTTTGACCCCAAAATCAATAGGGGTCATCTACTGGTCATGACCAATAACCATACCAAGTTTGAAGTTCCTAGGCCTTAAGGTTCTTTAGTTATTGATCGGAAACCGTTTTTGCTTACAAGGTCAATGTGACCTTGACCTTTGACCCCTTGACCCCAAAATCAATAGGGGTCATCTACTGGTCATGACCAATCACCATACCAAGTTTGAAGTTCCTAGGCCTAAGGGTTCTTTAGTTATCACTCGGAAACCATTTGGTCTACGGACCGACGGACCAACGGACCGACAAGTGCAAAGCAATATACCCCCTTTTCTTCGAAATGGGGGCATAATTATGTTAGTGTTCATCCTTAGCTGTTCTACAGAAATTAGAAACATTCTCCTGTCGCTATCGCTCCCGTCGAAGTTTCTAATTTCTGTAGAACAGCACGGATGAACACTAACATATACGTAGTATCGAATTTTTTTCTTCTATGAAAATTAACACATAATTTTTAAGAAATACAGCGTTTTCATTTGATGACAAATAAAGCTGGACACTAAATCGAATTTCGTTCATAGTCGACTTCTATTTTTCATAGTACTTCATAAAACCGCAAAGTGACGTAATAAAGTAAATAATAATGAGGCCAAATAAAGCTTGACACTAAGTATGTTAGTATTCATCCTTAGCTGTTCTACAGAAATTAGAAACATTCTCCTGTCGCTATCGCTCCCGTCGAAGTTTCTAATTTCTGTAGAACAGCTCGGATGAACACTAACATATACATATAATACAGACAATGTCACATAGACTAAGAGGACACAACAGAAGTGCACATGCACTTGAATATCGTATTTCACCAATTTAGTGGTTTTATACCGTAAAGAAACTATAGACAATTTAATTTAGTCAGACAACAACGTTGCTTAATATGAGCAACTTTACGATCTTCATCAAGGTTTGTCAGCATCTTTTTAATTTTCAGTTTCACAAATAATGAAATTGAACGACACTTAATTGAGATAAACACTGGTGTTGGTGAGCGAATAACCCAGAATACCACCGTCAATAAAATAGCAATGCCGCTGTTTTCGTCAGATGTGACGTCATCAGCGATGACGTAACTTAATAAGGACTGTAACAAGGAAGTCACTATAAATTACAATTCTTTTCTGGGTTGTGAACTAATAAAAGTACTGTGAGTGAATTTTGAGGTAAACTTTGTGAAATTTACAATTATACTGTATATTATTAATTGCTATTTATCAATATTTTTAATATCATTTTGATGATTTACATATTTAAGGATTATCACTCAATAAACTGCTGAAATTTCAAGCAAAGCAAGAGCAATCAGTGATCATATGTGTTGACTCATGCCAGCCAATTGCATGTTGCAGCTACTGTGTAGCAGCTGGGACGGAAGATAAGTTAATCATTAACAGCCTAACAGGCCAAAACACCTTTTCATTCAAAGGCCATAACTTCCCTATTGATGTGATGAACTTGTAACAACTTGCATTTAATTTTAACCAATGTAGTCTAACCAGGCTACTATTAAGTACAGTTTTAATATTTCTGATCTATCAATATTAAAATCCCCCAGACTCACAGTTTAAAGCAAGACATTAAGCAGCTATTCAATTTTTATGGTGTGTTGTTTCACTCATGTTTCTGTCTGAAAACACACTGAACCACACACAACCTTTTGCCAACCCCCTCCACCCCAACATTCTTTAAATAAAAAGCTTTTTGCTTACCTGAAGTTTCTGGTGTTGCCTGTTTCTCTCTTGAAGCTTATCAGAAATCTCATTCAGTTTTTTCTTTGTGTCTTCTACATCTTTTTTTGATGCTGAAATATTAATTTTATTGAAACTCTGACACAAGAAGTTTTCATTTCACAAAAAAATGCTTAAATCAGCTTTAAACCTCTGTACCTGAACATATTGAAATTTGAATTTCTTAATAACCATCATTAGAACATAATTTGACAATTTCACACAAAGTAAATTTCAATTTGTAATTTTACTTTAAACAATTTTGATCAAACAAAACCGAAGAAAGACATTAAATTCGGTTACATAATTACAATTAATGATCATTATATTTGTGGGATATCTAGTTAAAACTACTTCAGTACAAACCTGAAAGCTGTGTCTTTAATGCTGGGCAAAGTTAAGAAAAACAAGGTAATACAAGGGAGACAACTAATTTAAATTTTAATCAAACTAAGGGAGACAACTTGATATTAGCTGTCACTAATAATGTGATAAACTATCAACTTTGTAAAATAGATTGTTCAGTAGGCCTAATATTCGATGAACATTACCTTTTGGTTTTTCATATGAATTATCACTTTTGCAATTAGTTAGATATTTTCTAGTCAAATTTGATGGTATATTTGACAAAATTGACAAAAGATATTGAAGTTAAAGTATTTCATTTTATTACCAACTCTTCACATATATATATATATAATGTGATAATTACAGCTTTAAATAGAAAAAATATAAAGGTTTTCGTATCAAAAATAAACTTGGTAAAAAGTTGTCCATAATAAATTGTGCAACACTAAAAATGTAGACATATTTTTAAAGCAGCATTTGAGAGCATGTTTATTTTGGTATGTTAATCATTCATAGACACGATTATTCACCCGCATAGTAATTGTGAGCGTGTCACAATTACACTGGGTTAAAGCAAATACAAAAGGTGAAACCATTATTGTATACATCTATTTATAACTTGTAGATACAATCCATATATGGATTACGTGTTACCCGGCTTCACCTTTTTCACCACAAATGGTAACCAACCTAGCCTGGGGCACCAGACATACAAAACTTTTGTGATATGTGAACAACTATTGTGACAATATAATACACTGTGACTCAAGGTTTAAACGTGAATATCAAGTTATACCAAGTTATTAACAGGCAGCTCTGTGGATTTTGAATGGTTTATACTCCAAAATGGTGAGATTTTAATGATAGAATACAGTTTTATGAAGTTTATAAACTTTTAGCTAAATGTTATAGTGTGATATTGAAGTAAGATGTATTATCACATGTCAGGCTAGTAAAGTACGACAAACACAGGTATGGTTGCCAGTTTGTCCAGTATCATAGTGTTCAGGTGTAAAACTCAGGTAAAATCAATGTCAACCATAAATGTATTTCACAGTTTGTATGGGTTTGTATACAATATAAAATGTTTGAAGTGCTTTTTTTTCTTCAATACACATCTATAAGAGTAAAATAGTTTGTAAAGTATACCTCATAATGTAAATTGTCTGCCTTATGATAATAAAGTATAAAACACATACAGTTTTACAAAATGTATTACTACTGTGTATGTTAAGTAGTATTTTATATATATAATATGTATTATTTGTAAATTTTTGAATTATTTCAGCTTTAGTATGTAACTGGTGTTAAAAAAAAAAATAAACCTTTCAGCAAATTTAAGTTCAGGCTTCAATACTTGACAACACATAGAAATTAGAATAATTACTTGCCTATGAAGTGTAATAATGGTGGCTTATATACTTAACCTTTGACCATGCAACTAAATTTGTGCCAGTTTTGAATTCAACAGGTTAAAGGATATCAACATAAAAATACAAAAATTATGCAAGTCCAACATTGCAGAGCCTGCGGTCAGACTGCAAAGATGAGGCAAAGGCAGGTCACTTTTGGTCCCAGTAGATTAAAAGTTATTCTTGAAATTTTACTTTCAAAATCTCCATAAACTTTAAACAGCAAACTTTAGTAACAATTATTATGGTAAATAAAAAAATAATAAAAAATAAAAATGTGAATATAAAGATGATGAGTTCAGTCCCTGTTGGAATTGGAACCAATTGTGTCTTGGTAGCATAACATTATATAATTATGTATATTTAATTTAAAAAACCCAGCTTTACTGTGTCAAAGTGACTATGCAAGAAGAAAAAAAGCAAGATTTTAGATATTTTGAAACATTTATCACTTGGATATAGAATAAAAGTTGAAATTGTTTTAGTACATATTTCCATTATTTCTAATAATGTGATTTTATCTATACTTTTTCATAATGCCATTCTCAGTGTGTAATTTTGAAAAATTATTTTATTATGTAGAATGTCTGGTGTAAAACATGCATGTTGACATGTAATCCGACTGGATCTGAAGAGGAAATACATTCTCCAATAAATGACATAATAAAATGTAAAATTATCCTGTTTTTGTGTAAAACTGAATCTACTCTTATTAAATGTATTGGTTAAAGCTGCATGCCTCCAGATGAGCCAAACTATTTTTACTGTGCTAAATTAAACTCCAAAATGAAAAGTGTTGCAACACAAAAATCAATATTAAGTTTATTTCTGAGTATATTTCTTTAACATCCTTCGCTTATTTTTCTGTTTATAGTGCTACACTTGAATTGTATAAGAATTTCAAATTCTATGTTTTTAGACTTTTTGACCCCAGTGGAGGTCCTTTAATATAGTTTTCAAACTTTGTAATGTTTCTTTTACTTAAGACCTTCTGAATTTGTGTACTGAATTTGCCCTAGAATAAATGAAGAACAGTCCAGATACCTATACAAAAACAACAAGATTGCATTTGAGAAAAATGCTATGCCACCGCATTAATACAATATAAATAGTAGTGTAGGAACAGATTTTTTTTGTTTCAATACAATTTTGAAGATTGTCATAATGCATAAATCCCTGACCTTATAAATAATCTAATTCTTATTATCAGATTAGTGGTTAAATCTGTTGTTAACTCAATAAAAGATCAGAGTAGGAATATATCAATGCACGCGAGTCTAGTGAATTTGGTGGTGAAGGTCATATTTCACACAGCCTAAATTTTATGACTACATCAAAGGACAACACAGTAAGACACTTTGTCAAAATCTAGGTCAGCTGAAATCAAAGTTCACTTTACATCTTAATCTGTGCACATGGTTCAAATTTCAAGGCTGTACATCAAAGGACAAGAAAGTAGGCCACATCATCAAAATCTAGGTCACCTGATATCAAAGTTCAATTTTACAACTAAAACTGTGCACATGGTCAAAATTTCATTGCTGTACATCAAAGGACAAGAAAGTAGGTCACTGTCCCCTTGGGCAAGGCAAAATTTTGGACCCAAGGGTTTAATTCAAAACAATCTTGATACAGATCCACCGAACAACATTTCAAGTCAAATATCTAAGCTGTAGCTTTCTCCCATTCAGAAAACATTTGTTTTATTATATGTTTTTACTATGTGTACATAATGAGAATCACTGCCCCCGGGCAGGGCCAATTTTGACACCAGGGGCATAATTAAAACACCTTTGGTAGAGGACCTATAGATGATATTATATAGCAAACATCAAAGCTCTAAGCCTTGTACCTTCAGACAAGAAGATTTTAGAATTTTTTACCATATGTACATTGTGAAAATCAATGACCCCTGGGGATGGGGCCAATTTTGACCCCAGGGCTATAATTTGTACAATCTTGCTAGAGGTTCACTACACAATGTTTCATGCAAAATATCTTAACTCTAGCATTTGTAAATTAAGAGAAGATGATTTTTTAAGTTTTTACTATATACATATAAGGAAAACCTATGGCCCCCGGGGCGGGGCTAATTTTAACACTAGAGACAAAATTTGAACAACTTTGGTAGAGTACCTATAGATGATATCATTTAACAAATATTAAAGCTCTAAGCCTTGTACCTTCAGATAATAAGATTTTTTGATTTTTTTACTATTATGTATATATTGAAAATCAATGACCCCTGGGGCGCGTGCAATTTTGACCCCAGGGCTATAATTTGAACAATCTTGCTAGAAGTTCACTTCTCAATGTTTCATGCAAAATATCTAACCTTTAGCATTTGTCAATTGCTAGAAGAAATTTTTTACTATATACATATAAGGAAAACCAATGACCCCCGGGGCGGGGCAGATTTTGACCCCAGGGCTATAATTTGAACAATCTGGGTAGAGGTCTACCAGACAATGCCTTATGCAAAATATCTAAGCTCTAGGCCTTTTGGGTCTTTACAAGAAGGTATTTTAAATTTTTACTATATGTACATATAGTGAAAATCAATGACCCCCGGGGCAGGCCGATTTTGACCCCAGGGCTATAATTTGAAAAATCTTGGTAAGGGTCTACCAGACAATGCCTTATGCAAAATATCTAAGCTCTAGGCGTTTTGGGTCTTTACAAGAAGGTATTTTAAAATTTTTACTATATGTACATATAGTGAAAATCAATGACCCCTGGGGCGGGGCCGATTTTGACCCCAGGGCTATAATTTGAACAATCTTGGTAGAGGTCTACCAGACAATGCCTTATGCAAAATATCTAAGCTCTAGGCCTTTTAGGTCTTTACAAGAAGATTTTTTAAATTTATTCTTATAATTCCTTTTGGTTGCCATGGAAACCAGATTTCTGCATGGAATGAAATTCTTTGAACAACTTTGGAAGCCCTTCACCCAAGGATCAATCCTGCCAAGTTTAGTTGAAATTGGACTAGTGGTTTTTCACAAGAAGATTTTTTAAGTTCACTATATAATCTATATAACACACACACACACAAACAAACACACACACACACACAGGTGAATCGCTATATGCCACCGCATCGCAGATGCTGCGGTGGCATAAAAATTTAGGTACCAAAAGTATAGAGCCTGTTCAGACTGCACAGATTTGCAAGCTGCCCTGGTTTTATACTTTCAGATCCAACAAGTTTAAGATTTATTTAAGCATTAGCAGCAAATTTTCGCCATACATTATAACATGTTTACAAGGCTTTTTCCCAATGGAATTTTCTTTAAAATCATGCAGTTTTCCCAAAAAGATAAACTTACACCAACTTTTTTACTTCCCAAATTAGCAATATTAAATTCCCAAAATAAAGAAGCCAAGGTCCTTTCCCAATTAAGTGCTTAGACGGTAGTTGCTTAATTTAAATTTTTGCTTGATTTATATAATAGACTTCCTTTGCTTTGAAGTATTTATGAGGTATTATCTTAGCTATAAGATGTCAATAATCCACCTCAAGCAGGGTTCTAACTTAGCAGCATAATACAAGATTTCTAAGAATCTGATACTTCCAATACATTTTTGTGTCGCCTCTACGGAGTAGTGGCGACATATAGGGATCACTTCTCCGTCGTCTGTCTGTCTGTCCGTCCGTCCGTCACAAAACTTGTCCGGACTACCCCTCATAAACTACTGGTGCAATTTCATCCAAACTTTACAGGAATGATCAGTATCAAGTCTAGTTGTGCATATTGTCAGCATTTTCCGGTTCAATGATTTTTGTCAGAGTTATGGCCCTTTAATGATTTTAATTTTAAAGTTTGTCCGGATTACTTCTCTTATACCACTAATGCAATTTCAATGAAACTTTACAGGATTGATCTCTAGCTCAAGTCCTTGCGCATATTGCAAGGGTTTTCCGGTTGAATGATTTTTGGTCGAGTTATGGCTCTTTGATAAAAAGGTGTTTTTTTCTGTGTGTTGCCAGATACACAAAAGCTTGTCCGGACTACTCCTCATAAACTACTGGTGCAATTTCATCCAAACTTTACAGGAATGATAAGTACCAAGTCTAGTTGTGCATATTGTCAGCATTTTCCGGTTCAATGATTTTTGTCAGAGTTATGGCCCTTTAATAATTTTTATTTTTAAAGTTTGTCCGGACTAGTTCTCTTATACCACTTATGCAATTTCAATGAAACTTTACAGGATTGATTTGTAGCTCAAGTCCTTGCGCATATTGCACGGGTTTTCCGGTTGAATGATTTTTGGCTGAGTTATGGCCCTTTGATAAAAAGGTGTTTTTTTCTGTGTGTTGCCAGATATACAAAAGCTTGTCCGGACTACTCCTCATAAGCTACTGGTGCAATTTTATCCAAACTTTACATGATTGATCAGTACCAAGTCTAGTTGTGCACTGTCCGTCTGTCTGTCCGTCTGTCACAAAATTTGTCCCAACATGAAATTGGCCATTATGAGGCGACACATGTGATTACTGATCGCTCTTGTTGATAGTTTAATTCTTCATTAAGAAGGAAAATTTAATCTAGTGAACAGAATTTTTCTTGAATTACACATGGCTAAAATGAATCATAATTAAAACAAATTTAAGAAGAAAAAAAAGCGGAATTGAGGGTCACCATCCTATTTTTGAGTAATCTGTTCCTGAAAGTTGGTTCCAGCTAGTTTTATGCAATCTGTAAAAGAAGGTATTCCCTGTCATATTGCGAAACTTGCTGAAATTGACCGCAGCTTTTTTTATTCTACAGTTATTTTTGCATTATGATAGAAATTCTCATCCAGTTATGCCCCATAAATTTTTCTTCCAGTTAGGACCCTCTTTTTGAAGATAATTGCAATAGACATTTACTCATTGAAGCATTTCTTCTGCAATATCCAAAGTAAAAAGAACATCTTATTACATTTCTTATCAAGATATATATCTGACCAGGCTTAATACTATTGGTTACATTATTTGGATATGGGAAGGCATGTTGCTTTTTGTTACGGAAAATCACTTAAATCCTCAAAAGAAGATTTCAAATTCTGAGCTGAACAAGATTTTTTGTAGTCAAAATTCAGCATGGTAATAATATGATCAACAAGCAATTATCATAGTATTGCAAGCAATCCATAAGTCCCCTACCGGTTAGAACCCCATCAACATTCTGAAGGGCCATTGGCCATTCACTAATGTTTCAATTTTTCTCTATTTTAAGTAAATTTGTTGGAAAAGTTCTTTAAAAGTGATCACAGGAAACAGTTTTTATGAACAGACAGACAGACGGACTGAAGGACACTCTAAAGTTAATATTTGAAACATCCCTGTTACCAAAATATAACATTTTAAAAAGCAAAATTCTTAAAGAGGAGATATTTCTCTGGAATTAAAGATGCAATTTCATAAAAATTTCAGCTCTTTTTGACTAATCACAAATAGTGTTATATTTGCCATGTTTTAAGCCTATTTGTTGCCAAGGCAACCAATATTTTTTCAAAATAGGAAGAACAGATAAGACATGCATAATCTCAAGACTGCCATCTACCCATATGTCAAGTTTCATAAAAATATTTCCAGTACTTTTTGAGTTATCACTGGATTCAGTTTATGTGTAAAATTTGCCATATTTTCAGTCTATGTGTTGCCATAGCAACCAGAATTTTCAACATAGGAAGAAAAGAAAAAGACGTGCATAATCTCCAGACTGCCATCTACACATATTACAAGTTTCATAAAAATATTTCTATTACTTTTTGCGTTAACACTGGATCCAGTTTATGTGTAAAAATTGCCATATTTTCAGTCTATTTGTTGCCATAGCAACCAGAATTTTCAACATAGGAAGAAAAGAAAAAGACGTGCATAATCTCCATACTGCCATCTATCCATATATCAAGTTTCATAAAAATATTTTCAGTACTTTTCAAGTTATCGCGGGATCCAGTTTTGTGGACGGACGGACGGACTGACGGACTGACAGACGGACGGACGGACAGACGGACGGACAGACAGACAGACAGACGGACGGAGGGTAAACCTAAAGTCCCCTCCGGTAAACCGGTAGGGGACTAATAATGTGAGAAAAAGTCACAGTGGTAGCTAATTAATAATGTGTATAAAAAGCGGCATTGTCACAGATGTGACACATGGCAGGGAAACATGTCACATGGTGGTATAGAAATGTCACAGATGTTACAAATGTGAAGTAATATTGATATTTTATACATTCATACAATATTAGCTCTTGATACTACAAACTATCAACAGTGATATGTGACTCAGTGTGAACAATGATATTTTATCTTTGTGACTGATATAATTCTTGGATAATTTTATTTATCTTCAATCTTTGTGTAAAAAATACTTTGAACTATTTAATGATTATGATATTCTGCAACCATGAATAGCAGATAAAATGATATAGGAAAAATTAGTTAATTCTAATATAGTCTCAATAGATTAATATTTTTTTTACATCATTTAGAACTTTAAGAAAGTTTGAAGATATGTGTTTTCATTTTTTGATATTATATTTCAGATCTAATATATGTATATTCTTTACAGATGAAAAATAATTGTTGCATTAGATAAATTTTGTTTTATTAATATTCTGTTTAATAAACTGCAATGTGTTTAAACCATAAGCTACTGAGTTTTAAAAAATGACTTACCTAAGACTGACTTTGGTACTGAATTTTTTTCTTATTTTAGAGATTTTAAAAAGTGCAGACTGGCCTGGCTTTAGGCAGGTTTATGCTGTTACTACAAATTCTAAACCAATTTTAAAGAGATTTGATTGGCTCAAAACACTTTTATATGTTCATAATATTTTACTGCTTGGTTACTCATTCACACAGACATTAAAGCATCGGATAAGACAAGTTCAGATCAACACCAGGTTAATATTGACACTAAAATGTACACTAATTTTCAGCACTTACTGATCATGATCAATCCAGGTTACATAAATGGTATAGATAAATGGAGCAAGATATTATCTTATATTATTTGTATATTTCTAACGGCATATCTGAATGGAACAGGCAAAAAATATTGTTTTTCAAATCATTTTGAATTTATTTCAGGCCTCCGATCAACCGGACATTAAGCCATTACAAACTGGTTTTCCCCCGCTACACTTATTGTCAGCAGTTAACTCAACATCAGTGGCTTCATCTGTTACTGCTGGGACATCGTCAGTTCCTGTCTCCCTCATACCAGTATTCCAACCAAGCATGTTTGGTTCAGGCCTGATTGGGCTTCCTCTGACATTAAATCAACAAGCCTTGTTTCAAGCTAACATGGATGCTGCAGCAAAAAGTGCCAAATCATTAGCATCAGGTGCTGTTGCATTACAAGAAAATCCTAATACAAGCGGCTCAAAAGTTTCTGGGAACAGTTCCGGAAAGTCAAATCTAAAAAGAAAGTTTGCAGATGCATTGTTGGAAAGAAAAATGGACCAGACACCAGTTGAAATTGCAGCTGATCTTACAAGAGTTCAACAAAGAACTAACAAGGGGAAGGTATACAGCTGGATGTGGTCGGCAAATCCTAAACGACAGAGGGCTAGAATAACTGAGACAATGAAAAGGGAGATAATTGAGTTCTGTAAGAATCATTCCATGCTGAAACAGGGGGAAATAGCTGATATATTTGGTAAGTTGAACTAAAGGTTTTATAACGAACACAATGTTAAACTATTAAATAGCATTGTTAATTGTTTGATTAAAAATGTTTATTACAATATATAATGAAGAAGTGCATCATCATTTAAGGACAAAACACTCATAATCAGACAGACAGACAGACAGATAACTTTATTCACTCAAGCACATGTGTGTACAATATGAGGATTTTCTTATATAATGAATATAAAACATAAGTTTTCCAGCTGTAAACATACATACAATTTTACACAATATCTTTTTATTAATGTAGCATGAAACAATATGACTATTAAAGGTTGTTTTCTGGTAAATATAGAATGGTGCAGCATTATTATTGTGTTACCATTTTCTTCAGGAGTCGACCGAACGACTGTTACCAAGATGTTAAAGAGGAGTCAGGAAGCTCAGGATAATGATGAAGCGATATATGATCCTAGCAGGAAATACAGAGACCCACAGTATGAACTCGAAGATATGCTATATAGATGGATCAGTAATTCTACAAAACACCATCCCATTAACCAACCAGTGTGGTCATGTGATCAACTTCTTGAGCAGGTAGAGGAACTTTTATTAAATACACGCAGAATGTATATTTAAGTAATGATATCGGTTTCAGCAGTGTTTATCAGCTATTTAACACTGGTTTGGACTTTTGATGAATAGGAGTTGACCATGAAGGCTGTAGACCTAATTTTTAAAGTTTTTTCGCATCAAAAAGACAAAGTCGGTGTTAAATAGACAATAAACACTGTTAAAACTGATATTATTTCGATTCTAACAAGCCACAAAAATAGCCATGTCTGAAATTATTCAGGCATTGGTGGTTGACATGGTATTACAGTTCTATGAAATTTGATTGTCAACACTGTTACATGGGAGGTTATTTATTGAAAATTTACCAACTTGGTCATCTTGTTCATGTATATAATGTTTTAAAGATACATCATTGTCAAGTTTTATGAAAATATTATGGAGTTATCAGTTATGGCCATTTAATTTCTAAAATAAACTGGCCTTAAATCCACATATTTTAAAAGTTTTTTTTAATAATTATATTGTACAGAAAGGGGTTCAAGTATTGTATGGCTATCCAGAGATAATTTCCCATAAAACGTTTGGAAGCAATCAAAAGTTTATTGTGTTAAAATATATTTTTGAACACTTAAAGCCACTTCAAAAGCATGAATATTTTCAATGTGACGAAATTACATGAGATATGATTTTTTTGAGTGCTTTGATAAATTAATATTTCTTCTGAGATACATTATATTTTGGAACATTATGAAATTGTAGAGTTGTTGCCTTATAAAAATTATGTCTTAGCTGTACATGATGACATTAAAATTTTATCTACATAATGTATTTTGTACTTGTATCATAGTTTGGGGACCTTTCTGTTGAAAATGTGTCAGGGTTAAATCGTATACATATACATGCACAGTGCGTTAACTGGAGTGCGGGTATTAGTTACCCGCACTCCAGAGCATGCCCATTGATTGGCTCATTTTTGCTGGGGTTTACATATTGTGACGGCAGAGAAAGGGAAAGCGACAGAAATATCATATTCAGATGTTCGTTCATTGGTTCATTTTTGCCGGGGTTTCATATTGTGACAACAGGGAACGTGTTTTTATGTTTGACTATGATACAAAAGAGAAAGAACACCAAAACACTCGGTAATCTGATTAATACTCGGGGGCTACGCCCCCTCGTACAAATCAGATAACCTCGTGTTTCGGTGCTCTTTCTATTACTTAAACCGTCTAAATGCTTTGATGTAAGGTAATTATTAAACCATATGGACTTATTTGAGTAACCACCCTTTCAGTTTAGCATGATCAACCCTTAACCAAAATTTGAATATGAATGCAATACATTTCTTATTTTCTGACTAGGCCCAGGAGTTACAGAATCTGAGTGAAACAGGAAATGAATTATATCCAGACATGGATTGGCTGCTGGACTTTCTGGAGAGATTTAGACTGAAAAGATTTATTACAGACTGTGAGTATATAAAAATTACATTTTAGGTGACAACTAGAAATGTGTTCATAGGACACTTTTTGCTTTTGTTGTTCTTGACCTTAAGACATAATGACCTTAAGATCAATAGGATTCATTTACTTGCTATGGTCAATATCATACCAATTTTAACATCAACCAAAGCATATTTTTCTCCTCAAGATACAGATTGGACAAGGTTTTCACACTAAATTTCATGTTAGTCTGTGACCTTGAACTATGATCTAATGGCCACAAAATAAATAATCTTTTTAATGGAACCACTTTATTTTTCAGACAATATAAATACATTCTCTTCACAGGGATTCAATTCAATCTCCAGATTATATAATAAATACATCCACTTCTAAGGGAGATGATTCATTCTGAAGACAATATCAATAAATGCATTCACTTGTATACACTTAACAAATCTTATAAGTGTGCACCTTTTATGTCCTTATAACTTTTTCGTTTATCAATAAAATTTTGTGTTCTGACTATTGGCTGCATTTCCACACATTTCATGCTCTCAAGCATGTCAATTTTAATTATGAGGTGCGTTCAACCATGAACGAACGAAATTCACACAATGCACGAAAAAATTGTGAGAATGTGTGAAATAAGATTGCACATGATATTCGCGGATACGATAGAGATCGACATATCAGAAAAACACCACATGGGTAGATTAGCTATACAACAGCGTGAAATAGCCCTAAGATTGGTCAACGCTGGTGTACACCAAACAGAGGTTGGTAACATAATTTATTTGTTTAAATAATTATATTAATTCCTTTGTTTGTAAAAGTCGAAAATCATTTAAATTCAGTTTCTATCAAAGACGAACATAAAATGCATATTTTTATTTAGTAATAACTTGTATGTATTATTTGTAGGTTGCGCCTTGCATGGATGTACACCAAACTACCTAAGAAGGCTTATCATTAAGTACAGAGCAACTTATTTGGTAACCTTCCTCACCAACCCCAAAATTATTTACAACGGTATGTAACATCGATGTGACGACGCTGCCGGGCTGTAATACACAGTCAGGGTGGGCACGCACAGTATAAGGACATCATTTTGCAACATCGACTTTCGACACGCATTCACGTTTTTTAGAAATTAAATCTTGAATTTGTATCTTGAATGAAAAATACTTAATAAAAATGATAACATGTCACTTTTCTGTATTTATTGAAAATTTCAGCATGATCGGGCAAAAATTGATACACCTATGAAACCATTTATACATGCACACTTATAAGATTTGTTAAGTGTAAATGTAAGCAAGTCAATTTTTCTTGTAAGTTTTCAATTCTGGACATGTATTAACTATAAAGGATACTGTTCAGTTCTGTTGTTGTCTTTGAAACAATCTGCTCATAATATTGTTCTATCTCTGTGCATCTTTCCTTTGATTTGGATGCAGTATATTCCTGGTATGTCTTTTCTTGATAGGACTGAAAACAAAGCTTTAAAGTAGGTAAACCTTAAAATTACAGAGACCTCATATTCTATCAATCCCAAAAACAAAGCTTTGAAGTAGGTAAATCTTAAAATTACAGAAACCTCATATTCTATCAATCCCAAAAACAAAGCTTTAAAGTAGGTAAACCTTAAAATTACAGAAACCTCATATTCTATCAATCCCAAAAACAAAGCCTTGAAGTAGGTAAATCTTAAAATTACAGAAAACTCATATTCTATCAATCCCAAAAACAAAGCTTTAAAGTAGGTAAATCTTAAAATTACAGAAACCTCATATTCTATCAATCCCAAAAACAAAGCTTTAAAGTAGATAAATCTTAAAATTACAGAAACCTCATATTCTATCAATCCCAAAAACAAAGCTTTAAAGTAGGTAAATCTTAAAATTACAGAAACCTCATATTCTATCAATCTCAAAAACAAAGCTTTGAAGTAGGTAAATCTTAAAATTACAGAAACATATTCTATCATAAACAAAGCTTTGAAGTAGATAAATCTTAAAATTACAGAAACCTCATATTCTATCAATCCCAAAAACAAAGCTTTGAAGTAGGTAAATCTTAAAGTTACAGAAACCTCATATTCTATCAATCCAAAAACAAAGCTTTAAAGTAGGTAAACCTTAAAATTACAGAAACCTCATATTCTATCAATCCCAAAAGCAAAGCTTTAAAGTAGGTAAATCTTAAAACTACAGAAACCTCATATTCTATCAATCCCAAAAACAAAGCTTTGAAGTAGATAAATCTTAAAATTACGAAGTAGGTAAATCTTAAAATTACAGAAACCTCATATTCTATCAATCCCAAAAACAAAGCTTTGAAGTAGATAAATCTTAAAAATACGAAGTAGATAAATCTTAAAATTACAGAAACCTCATATTCTATCAATGGTTAATCCCAAATTTTAATTACATTCACATAAACCATACACATATATGTATATTGTTTATTAAATAATATATACATGTAATAATTGGGAATGTGGTTAAAATTGAATTTTGCCAAAGTCTGGGGTTTACCAATTAGAGAGTATGTCGGGTTTCTGTCAGCTAGGTTACTAAAGGAAGGACTTAAGATATAAATACTTAAGATATCAATGTCATAATGCCATCCTTAGCTTTGTCTATATTAATTACAACCAAAATGTACAGTTTCGTATTATAAAATTATTCCTATGTTAAGAAGAAATCACCTTAATTATATTGGTCATACCTGGTAAGCCCAGAATGCATGAGCTCTTGAAGCAATTTCACATATAACATCAGGCTTGAGTCCAGCTAGGATCATCTGTAAGTAGAACAGTCATGGTCCAAATTTAATGTCTTGTTAGAGACCAGTTTTAAAAGATATTATAGTTTGAAGCTTAACAGTAAGAAGACCAAGTCCATAAGGGGCGTCTGTGGCCAATGGTTAAGGCCGTTGACTTCAAATCACTTGCCCCTAACTGCTGTGGGTTCGAATCCCGACAGGGACTTTGGATTCTTTCATGTGAGGAAGCAATCCAGCTAGCTTACGGAACGTCAGTGGTTCTACTCAGGTGCCCGTTCGTGCCTGAAATAATGCACGGAAGGGCCCCTGAGGTCTTCCTCCACCAGTAAAGCTGGAACGTCGAGATATGACCTATACTATGTCGATGTGACGTAAAACCCAAAACAAACAAACCAAGTCCATAACACAAAGAGAGCTAGGTACGGTTACATTTGAGTCTTAGTTCAGAGATATGTAGAGGGTTTCAATACTTTCTGTTTTAACAAAACATACTCACAGACTTATACTGCTCAGAAGGCTGCAGGTTATTTCTGACAATCTCAAACTTGTTGGAAAGATCTGTTTGACCTAAAAATAAGGAAGATGTTCGTGAAATGCAATATTATCTCTTACTAATATTGTTTCTTATTACATTATAATACCTTAATGATATGTTGATTATTAACATCATGGCATTATATGATATAGATTGCAATACTGTTGCCTGCTTAGCCCAAATATTTATTGCAGTTTAGATACAATGTTACATGTACTTTAAATTTCATCTGGAATGCAGAAGGATTTCATGACCAAGAAATTCAAGTCTTCGAGTGATAATCACAAGTAATTTGCCACTAAAATGGTTTGAATCCTGCCAGGGACAGTGGGTTAAAAATTGATACAGCTATCCAGCTAGCTTATGGAAGGTTGATAGTTTTACTCAGGTGCCCGTCTTTGTCTGAAATGTGCATGTAGAGAGATTTGAGTAGGTCTTTCTCCAACAATCAAGCTGTTGGACACTATAATGACATCAGCAGTTTAGATGTGACTTAAAATACAACTGGAAAAACTAGAACTATCACTAAATGTGATTAATACCCCCACAAGTCTGCTTCGGAAATGAGGATGTTACTAGTAACAGAATACCTTGTAATAGAATTGAAACAATTAAAGATAATTGTGGTTCATGTATGTTGCATTTCCTTTCAATGTGGTTGGCCATTGATGAAGTTTAATTGAATTACTCGGTAATAAGCCCAGAAAAACAAAGAAAAAGAACAAAGGGCAATAACTCTATAAATACTGAAGATAGAGTTATAGTTCTTGTGCACTGCACTTCCTCTTATTGTGCTTGACCATTGTATGAAGTTGTTTTGAATTCCAACCAGTATGTTTTAAGTTATGCTCCGGACAAGGAAAAGTATCAAAGGGCAGTAACTCTGTATTTTGTCAAAATGGAGTTATGGCTCTTGTGCACTGCACTTCCTTTTAATGTCCTTGACAACTGTATGAAGTTGTACTGAATTCCAAACAGTAGTTTTCAAGTTATGCTCTGGACAAGGAAAAGTAACAAAGGGTAATAACTCTGTAATAAGTCAAGATGGAGTTATGGTTCTTGTGCACTGCACTTCCCCTTATTGTGCTTGACCATTGTATGAAGTTGTTTTGAATTCCAACCAGTAGTTTTCAAGTCATGCTCTGGACAAGGAAAAGTAACAAAGGGCAGTAACTCTGTAATTAGTCAAAATGGAGTTATGGTTCTTATGCACTGCACTTCCTCTCAATGTGCTTGACCATTGTATGAAGTTAAAATGAATTCCAACAATAAGTCTTCAAGTTATGGTCCGGACAAAAGAAAGCAATGGAAAAGTCACAAAGGGCAGTAACTCTGCAATTAGTCAAGATGGAGTTATGGTTCCTGTGCACTGCACTTCCCCTTATTGTGCTTGGCCATTGTATGAAGTTGTTTTGAATTCCAACCAGTAGTTTTAAAGTCATGCTCTGGACAAGGAAAAGAAACAAAGGGCAGTAACTCTGTAATAAGTCAAAATGGAGTTATGGTTCTTGTGCACTGCACTTCCTCTCAATGTGCTGGACCATTGTATGAAGTTATAATGAATTGCAACAATTAGTCTTCAAGTTATGTTCCGGACAAAAGAAAGCAATGGAAAAGTAATAAAGGGCAATAACTCTGTAATTACTTTAGATAGAGTTATGGTTCTTATGCACTGCACTTCCTCTCCATGTGCTTGACCATTGTATGTAGTTATATTGAATTCCAACCATTAGTCTTCAAGTTATGGTCCGGACAAAAAAAAAGAAGGCAATGGAAAAGCAACAAAGGGCAATAACTCTGTAATTACTTTAGATAGAGTTATGGTTCTTGTGCACTGCACTTCCCCTTATTGTGTTTGACAATTGTATGAAGTTGTTTTGAATTCCAACCAGTAGTTTTCAAGTTATGCCTCGGACAAGGAAAAGTAACAAAGGGCAATAACTCTGTAATTAGTCAAGATAGAGTTATGGTTCTTGTGCACTGCACTTCCTCTCAATGTGCTTGACCATTGTATGTAGTTATATTGAATTCCAACCATTAGTTTTCAAGTTACGCTCCTGACAAGGAAAATGCAACGGACATCTGGACCGACCGACCGACCACCGGGTGACTCCTATATACCCCCCCCAAACTTCGTTTTTGGGGGTATAAATAGGTACATAGAAAACTACTGTATACATATTAATTAACAAAAGGTAATGACAAATTCACTTCATGATATCTGCAAAAATGGGTAAAATTAGCGGTGGGGCGGCGGGGTGGAGGGAATTTTTTTTGTGTTTTTAAAAACCGAGAAAAAATATGTGAGAGACCCGCCCATAAAGCATGGGGGGAGTTAGTTTTTTTTAGCGGGGAAAAAAAGAAGTTTTAGGATCCCCCCCGAATCTTTAGTTTTTTGAAAAAAAAAGTGGGGAAAGTTTTGTTGAACTTGGTTGGGTAGAAAAAGGTGTTTTTGACCTCGTATTGCGTGGGGGTAAATGTTCTAGAGGATTTGTACGCAAAATCGGGAACCTGTAGTGTCGGGGAGGAGGCGTGGTGGTGATGCCCCGCCCCCTGTAATTTCGGTTGGCGGAGAATAATGGTGATACATACATGCTGGACATGTTGTTGCTTTACCAAACTCTCTGGTTCCATGTTCATCACATAATACATGTAATAAAAGTCAAGGATTTTTCATTTCATGTGCTGAATATACAGAAAGTTACATTTTACCCAATGTATTTTAAGGTTTTAGTATGATATGTACTAGTAGCAATGACACATTGTAAAATATTTGTAACTCACTCCTGGGAACAGCTTAATCTTTATGTTTATTATGACAAAATGATGGTACAACCATATAACACCAAGCCTATAATATGCAACTTGTGTTTAAAAATGCTAAAAGTGACATTTAATCATATTAAGACTGATATGAGGATCAAAACCTGTGAAACCTAATAGCTAGAAAATACTGAAACAGTTGTCTTATTAAAAGCATTGTGTCTTTTTCATTGTAGACTAACCTTTAGCCTGTTGAATTTCTTTAAAATGAACTTTCCTGTACCTGTCAAGTTTAAGTTTTTGGAATATCAAGATAAAATTTTTTATTTGAAGCTGGTCAGCCAACAGTGTCTGTTTAGACTGTACATATTTACTAGTGCGACTGTCAACACTTTTGAGCCAGCAAGATACAGGTTAATATAAAATGCCAAGAATATTTATAAACACATGGACTATAAGATAAAGTATATTGACAAAATTATATCATAATTACTACTGTTTGAAACACATATCTTTTAACTTGACAAATATAACTATTTATAATACATGCAAACCTATTAGGCACATTATGTCTCATAAAAGAATAAATATTTCCTTCTTAAGAAAGGGCAAACATGAGTATTATAACATTTAAATAATGGTTTAAGAGCATATTAGATGCTTATCATATGAAGAAAGTAACTCTAAATGTGAAATTATTTTTATAAAAGTAGCAAAATGTAAACTAAGTAGCATTTTTACTTTCATACAAAATATTAAATCACTATATATATATAATTGTAAGAATTACCAAAAGGCAAAAGAGCAAAAGATTGATCAGGTAATTGGCCAATGAATAATTTTTGGAAACTATAGCTAGTCACAAAAACTGAAAGGCGTTTCTGGGACATAATAGGCCTTTATATAATTCAAATTCATTTACAATGTATTATTGTCTGAATTAAGTGTAATCCTTCATATTCATGTTAAACCAATATTCAAAAACAGTAATTATATACAAAAAAAGCTTGAGCAACAATTACTTTCAATATTATGTATCAGTCAGTTGCATCCCTCCACTCCTAGAGCACTACAACAAATTGAACAAAATACTGGGAATATGTGTATTTTTTTTTCTTGACTCTTCGAAGAATAGGAAGAGCTATTATACCATCAAGGCGCTATCAACAGTGTTACAGTTTGGTTAAGCTTTTCCTTTCAAGTTGTTATCTCCAAAACTATTGAAGAAAATGAATTGAAACTTCACATGCTTGTTCTCTGTGATTATCAATCATAATTGGCACAAGTCCAATAACTTTTGGGTTTTTTTTTTTTTTGCAAATTTATCCCCCTTTTCGACTTAAAAATTCTTGGTTAAGATTTTGCATGCAAGGTGGTATCCATAACCACAAAAGTGAAATGGCTGAAACTTCACATACTTCCTTGAGAGCATAATAAGAGTTCACTGTCACAAGGCCCATAACTCTAATATGGATTTTGACAGAATTCGGGCCATTTTTAAACTGATAAAATTATACATTATACAGACTCATGTTTTACTATCAAGTACTGGGAATAGTTGAGCACGATGTCCCACAGACTGCTGTTGTGTTAATTCTGTCATTGTCACTGTTTTCTTGAAAAGTGCTTCAATCTGATTTGTGCCAAAAGTGAGAATTAATTGCATAGCAATTTGCTGCAAATATATTTAGTCATATAAAAGATTTTATTGTTGGACTCACTGTTCCCTCAAAAAAAAACTGTATTGACAAAACCTTGTCTAAGAACTGTGAAAAAAACTGCAAAAAAAAAACTTCTGAATTTGTAATAAAGCTACGGAAGAGCATTAGTGCCAGGTGTATGTTTTTTATTAACTTGAAATTTCGACATACTAACTCGAAATTTCGACTTATTAACATTACAGGAATGGCCAAAGTTATTAGTTAAATGATATAAGATATAGTAATGAGTGCCGTTGAACGATGGAGATGGAGAAACGGGTGCCTGGACAAAAACTATTGAAATTTAACTTGAACTTAGTAACGGCATGTACACACCCGACCTAAAAACACAAGGCTTCCTTTAATTTGTATGTTCAGGCGTTCTTCAGACGTTGTATTGTATCCCATCTGTTTGAACATATCTTTTCACTTATCATAATTATTCTTCTCATCCCTGTGAATAAAACGATCCCATCCTTCACGTGTGGGACATCTGAGGAAAGTATCGCGGCGTGGCCAAAATAAGGCGTGCTGAGGCCTTTGTCAAAATTGTTGGACTGACTATATTTCTTTTAAAATCGGATGCTTTTATATTATTCCGAACATATATATAACAACAAGTTCCACTTTTATTAACTTTTATCAACACATTATATTACTGCACGTTTGTAACGACACTTTTCATTGGATAATCATGACGTTTATATAGTTTTATAAATATATATATATATATGTATTATAAATTCGTTATAAAGATTGTTGACAGGTTATATGGCCGTATATAAACGGCTGTTTGCAATATAACCCTCGCATAGCGGCTCGGGTTATATTTACAAATAGCCGTTTATATAGGGCCATATAACCTGTCAACAATCTTTATAACTAATAATATGAATCAAAGTATAACAAAAACATTATTAGTATAAAGAAACGTGACAGACTAACTGGCGTATACACGCCATTTAAAACTTATTTAACACATGATATTGCACAGTTTGCAATAGGGTGGAATTTGGACTTGTTGTTTTTTCACATGATGGTTGTATGTGTGCTTAAGAAAAAGAAACATCAGGTTAACATGGAAATGTGGAAAGTGTGATTTTACACCCCCCCCCCCCCACAAAAAAGCGAAGGATATGTTCAGTATGTGTGGACAATTTGACCCTATTAAATTGTTCTGTTAAATAAATGTTAAATGTGCTCTGCCAATGTGCAACAGCTACACACAAAAGAAAGTATCTTGAAGTCAATCCTTGCTTTCACCGGCAACCAATGAAAGTCGTGCAATGTAAGTCGAAATTTCGAGTAACTAAGTCGAAATTTCGAGTTAATAAGTCGAAATTTCGAGTTACTATTAAAGTCGAAATTTTGAGTTACTAAGTCGAAATTTCGAGATAAGTAACTCGAAATTTCGAGTTAGTAACTCGAAATTTCGAGATAAGTAAGTTGAAATTTCGAGATAAGTAAGTCGAAATTTCGAGTTAATAAAAAACATAAACCTGGCACTAATGCTCTTCCGTTATACAGCAGATAAGTACAACATAAAATGAATGTGTCGAAAAGTGTGATAAACAAATTGAACCAAAAAAAAAAAAATGTTTTATATTGATAATTGAAAGATTTTAGATGAATAAAAAATATTATACATTATTTCCCAGGGGAGGAGTCAGGGTAATTAATATGTCTAGTGCATTAGATTAAGCTCTTCCCAGGAGTGATTTTGGATTTAAAAATTGTTGATCATAGCCTTTAAAATACATATTAACATATTATAGACAGACAATTGGTATGTAATGTTATGAGCACATGCTTCCTGTTTCCAGAAGGTAATAGATTACCAGTAGTAAAACACTTTGTTGGAAAAGGATATGTGAACAAGCTGTCACCTAAAAAGAAAAAGAAAATTAGCAATTAATACTTATTTTATTTGCTTAAGCATGTTACTAAAGTAAGAATTGTTACTAAGAATTGTGATGATGCAGCTCAATGTCTCAACCAATTTTATTTCTTTATCAGGATTTGATCATTAAAACCTCTATGATTAGGTTTTTTATCTTGATCATTTAAATTAGTCCTACAAATAGAATTTAGTATATTTTATAATGAATATTACTGTATGGAACCACCAAATAAATATTTTGAAGTTCAGCTCCGGCAGTAGTACAAAATCCTGGCTAAGTTTAAGCTTAGATTCACTGGCCAGTATTTACAAAGTCTGGCATTTTTCCCCAACATTTTAAGGATGCCACCAACACTGGTGGAACTAGGGGAAAATTGTTATAAGAAGTCACCATTAATTGGAAAATTTAGATTAACATATAGAAACTTCTAAACTTATAAAAAATATATAGCTTTTGTATTAAAATTTTCTTGTATAAGCAGTAATTTTAAGGTATTCCCTTCTGGGCAAAACTACTTTTCAAAGAAAGGCAATAACACCATTCATGAAGACTAAATTTTGGGAATTTTCTGGTATTCAATTAGAAAAAAAATGTTTGGGCATTGATAATTCCTCCATTTTTTTTGGTAGTAACTATAATTATAAGGGGGAAAAAGGTCTAGTAGTGCCATACTTTTAGACTCTTTTTATTTAGCCACCATTTAACCACCACAATTTGATTATGCTGAATTTCTTTTATCAAAGACAGACTAAAGTTTATACTCTTGCATGCAATAGTTATTAGTGTGAAATTTTCCCAGAAATGTGTATATGAAAATTTGTATCTAAAAATGCACCTAATTAGCCATATTTCAAAACCTATTTTATAACTGTTCATTATTGATTGTTAAAACTTACAAAAGCAACGTTAGTCAAACTCTTCCTACATTTCTTGAAATTGCAAACTAGATTATCACCTTCCATGTTCTACCTGTAAAATAAAGATACACATGCAGTCTATACAAAAGACCTCAAATTTTGACTGGATAGTCTAATTAAGGCTGGCGACATTTATAATATCACAACCCTTTACAAAATTAATATTCCTGGGAAATACGTTTTTACTCTTTCCCAGGTTTTTGCCATAATGATAGATAAATCAGAATAGAATTGCACATTACTTTTGCCTAATCTCAGCATTTAAATTTAACATTCCTTCATATTACTCATTAGGGAATAAAGCAAACTAGGTTGATCCATTTCAACTATGTGCAGCTTGAATTTTGTTAGAAATAGAAATGTTTCCAAGTGACACTTCAGTGTAAGAAATTCGGATTTAAATCAACTAGGCTGGTCGGACTACCAGATTGGAATATTCACTAGCCCAAAAGACATATCACTAGCACGATTCATTTGTTTATATATTGCCTCTGAAAATACAGTAGCCTGGTCGGGCTTGTTACTGTGAAAAGTTGGTAGCCCGAGGAGAAATTTAGTAGTCAGGGGCTATCGGACTACTGCTATATGTTGAAAGAAAAATTGATCTATCATGGGCATGGGACAAGCAAATGATTACTAGAGCACTATCTTTTTCTGTTCTCTTTTTGTTGGTAGAATCTATTGTAGGTGAAAATGTAGGCTCTATCTTCTGTATCTCCCATTAAACTGTTAAAGTTGAACAAAAAATATTTGACTTTTACACAATTGTTTTCTTTTGCAATACAGTAGACTTCTCACTAGACTTTTGTACATATGAAAAAAATTTAATGAGCTTAGGCTTGGACTTATTTCTTTGAAAGACCCTGTTCTGACTAGTTAACAACAATTTAAAAGTGTCAGACTCAAACACTGGCAAACTAGGACAAACGGACGGACGAATCCGGAATACGTAAGAATAATCGCATCACATTATGCTTCCCACTTGTTGAAATTTAGTGGAATCATAATGGATTTAACATCAGCTGATACATGATTTTAAATTTCATTCCCTGCGGTCTGGAGACCGCAGGGTATTGGTACGCGTTCAACTTTTGAGGCATGGAGGAGCACGTGACCTGTTTTCGGTACATGGAGGAGCACGTGATCTGTAAACCGTATATGATTGGTTAATTGACCTTTTCGAAAACTCAGCTAAATACCGTTTGCCGGTACGTTACGGATTTACCTGTAGGGAATTAGTCCGAATTATACCTAATTCAGTAATTGAGAACAAAAAACTATTACGCGATATTTCTAATTTTTTATAATTATTTTACCGTTTAAGGTAGACAAATTTGAAAATTATTAATGTTTCTTTAATATCTATCTCAAATTTTACAAACAATAAATTGTTTATAGATCTACTGAAAATCCACAAAATTAAAATATTCGTAGTGGCATCTGCCATAATAAATAGAGATATTTTCTACTAAACTTGTGTGTGTAGCTCTACTTTATTTATTTTTTGCTCGGAATTATTCATAAAATGGGAGGCCTATTTAATCATTTTCTTAAAAAGAAATATTTTTTTTATGTTCGACCTTCTCCGGTCTTCAACGGTCACCAGTTTCCAAAGACCTTCTTCTATATTGACCGATTATTGTCAACTATATTCCTGATACAAACGTTTATTTACCCCCCCCCCCCCCCCCCCCACCCCCCCCCCCACCCCCCCCCCAAATAATGTTGAAAATAGTTAAATGAAATATCTTTATATCATTAAAATGTTCACCGCAGGAAACAGTTTTACCTGTTGTTTTTGTTTACACTTCTAATTTTGCAGACGATCAAATTGGCTAATTTGGTTCCTTGTCCTGTATGGTTCCCATAATTTATTTAATATTGAAGGGGACCAGTTTAGTAATATGTAAGCGCTTTTATAACTCTGAATAATTTGGAACCAGTCGCGAACGTGTCAAAATGGCCGCCTGGGCTGGATTTTCGGATGCTGAGTTACAAAAAGTAAAAAACAAAACAAATACCGCATATAACAGTCAACCAAAAAGTAATTATACATATGTTAACTTCTCGCTTATAAAACTAGTTTTGTTAATCCATTATCTATTGCTAAACCGTCGATTAAACAACGAAAATCGATAACTGTTACATTACTCGGATAGTCAGTTGTTTAGATATCGTCACCAATTGACCTAATGATTTATTCGTGATTGGACTGTTTTTCCCATTTATCAGACAGTTTATATTTTCCTCCTAATGAACCATTAGATTTAATTTTAACTGTCATTTTATGCTGAAAAATTAACTGTTCCTAGATTTGAATAAGAATAAAAATCTTTCTTTTTTTCATAAAAAATAATCATTTAAGTTTGCATTCCCTGAAAATGAAAATGACTGATAAAGTTTTTTTTGTTGTTGTTGTTCAATGTTTGTCGATCAATCTGTCGCTTTTTATTCAACAATAAATGCATGTTTTTTCTAAAATTTAAGAAAATAAATTTATTATAAATTTTACTTTCATAATTTAGACTTCAAATTTAGACTTCAAAGTGTGCATGCAGTCATAGATTTATATGTAATTAAGATGCAGTCCGAAACCTCTTATACTCAGCTATGATTTTTTGCAGATTAAACAATAGAATATCCAAAACTAAAGCATTTGCTGCTGAAATATTGTATCTCATGTTAAAATAAAAATTTCAAACACCCAAGCTTTTTCCTGGAATAAAATCATCATCATGTACATATACCTGTCCAGACACATGGTACTGTAGTGTGGACAATTTAGGTAATTTTGATACCCTCTTTGACGGTCCTCAGATATAAGTGTCAACATAATCAAAAATCAACAAACCAGTTTGTTAGGAGAAGAATCTAGCTCTACTGACTACTGTGTCAAATTTTCAAATCTCTAGTTTTAAAATTATGAAATATGTATGGAAAAATGTTCAAAATTCAAATAGTGTCTGGTTGAAAGTCCCCGACCAGTATCCGGTTAATTTAAGATTCATTCTCATTATAAGACCTGAGCCTGACCAGTATACTATAACCTATTTCATGTTTATCCTTCACTTATCTTAATTCTGATATTTTTCATTTTCCATGATACGTTAGATCTTAACTGATGACTGCAAACATTAGATCCAGTCATCAAATTTAGCACTGGCCCGGTGGCCCATGGCCAGTGAAAATTAGTTTGGGCCAGTTTAAATTTTAAGAATATCTAGTTAGATATATAGTAGAATAAATTAAAAAATGGAATTCGAGCCAGTAAATTCAAAATCTTAAATTCAATGACTGTAGATCTTAACTGATGACTGCAAAAGCATATAGCAAGCAAATTGACATTAAACATCTATTTTGACCTATTTTGATCTAATGCATTTAAATAATTTAATTAGTAATGATTTTAAAGAAATTGATTTCATGATATCTCTGTTAACTGTTGACAGGATAATATTGAACTTATCAATAGATGGTACAGTAAAATCATTATAAAAAATACATAAAATAATATTGATAACATACACATTACAAATCATTTCTGTACATCTTAACTTCATATGTTAGTATTATGTATGGGGTATGTAAGGGGTATGTAAGTATACCCCTTAGTATTTTTGTAATGTTAATTTCCCATAGGCTTTTGGGAGTTATTCTTTATACATTTAATGCAAGTGTACTATGTGACTAAAATTTTTGTATTGTGACATAGGTAACACTACTTTTGCCCAGTAAAAATCTGAAACATATAAACCTATAGAGACTGTGTCCCGAGTATTTTTTTGGGGTATTAAAATAAATAACACATAGGTTTGTGGGTAACAGCAAAAATTTGAAAAAAAAAAATACTGTTTCCCTTGACGTCAACACTAACAGTATTTTCTTAATCGGGATATTTTACTGTTACTCACAAATGTATGTGTTATTTATTAACTATGACTTAGAAGGTAAATAAGAAACTGTTAACAGCTTTCAACAGGGTTTTATTTCATGTTTATTTAACACCAGTTCAATCAATATTTTATTTTTGCAGTCCCTACTGATAACAGAAAGATGAAGGCAAAAGGTCCAGGTCAGTGCAAGCTGCTCCCTAAACCAATTCAAAAGGTTAATAATTCCCAGGCACAAAAGGACTTAACAAACGCAATGGTAAGTTTATGTCCTCTTCCAACATTACAGAATAAATATCTTGTGAATAAAAATGTTATTAAATGCATATTTTTTACACCAAAAATACATAAACATGTAGAATGATGTTATCAGAGTTCAGCATGCATGAACTTTATTGGTATTACTTTTGAAGTTGCATAAAAGTAATAATTTCCATGTTTTCCAGTTAAGTAATCACAGAATTCGTAAAGAGCCTGAGGCAGAATATACCATAGTAGAAACACCTTTAGATTTGCCTATTAAGATTGAACCAGGTGAGGTCAAGAAAGAGGTCAATGTTGAGGAACTCACTACCGAAGAGGCTATAAGGTGAATATTTCAGTAGATTAATGATTGTACCTACTCTTTTGATCAGACTGTCTGTAATAGTATAATATACCCTTACCATGTTAAATACTTGTCAGACTAGTAATCTAAGGACTGCTGACTGCATGGTATTAACCCTGTCAGTTGCAAGCTGTTATTTCATTGAGCAAGACACTTTACATTCATTGCTTAGTACTGGTTGGTTCAAGAGTGTTTCAATAATCTTATAGCTTCCAACACAATCAAACTAACATAAAGTCATTTAAACTAAATAATAATTATGTGAACTAGACTTGTCATCATATTTTATCGTATTTCTGTCTAATGTTAATAAAAGGAATAAATTTGAAAAATTAAAATGTTAAAATTAAGCAGCTAACAGTATAGATTCTGGATAGATAATCAGGTTAGCCTGGATCTTTACTTGTTAAGAAAGTCTTTTAGTTAGGGATATGCTGCCATTAGGCCTAACACTCTACAAGTAACAGTACCTAGAAAATTAAATGTTCTGAAAGTGAAATTTTTGTGGATTTAAATATGTATATACAATTTATAAAAACCTGATAAATGTGCCTTGTGCAGTGTTAAAATAAACAAAATGATAATATTAAGAAACAACAAGCTACATATTTTCAATATTTTTGGTAGAGCAATCAATGCTTTCTTAGCATATATTCAGCCGAAGATATAATATATACAATTTATATATTCATACAATTGCAAGAATTATGATGTGTCTATATTCCAGCCGAGAGGTCAAACAGCTTGATAAATTCCGTGAACAACAGAAAGCTATTGAAGAGGCAAACAAACTGAAGAAAGACCTATTGTCAAAAACACTATCAGAACGGTATTCTGTTATTTTCAATATGATGACTTTATTAATGCTTTTATTGAAAAGTAAAGAGACTAATTGTTATTGATAGAAAATTGTAAGGAACTTTGTCATTGAAGAAATGAATTAAATAGAAAAAATGTACCGTATTACTTGCACTTGACCCTTTAATGAGTTTTATCAGCTCTTCAGTTCAACAGCTGTTTTACTAATTATGCCCCCATTTCGAAGAAAAGGGGGTATATTGCTTTGCACTTGTCGGTCCGTCGGTCCGTCGGTCTGTCGGTCCGTCGGTCCGTAGACCAAATGGTTTCCGAGTGATAACTAAAGAACCCTTAGGCCTAGGAACTTCAAACTTGGTATGGTGATTGGTCATGACCAGTAGATGACCCCTATTGATTTTGGGGTCAAGGGGTCAAAGGTCAAGGTCACATTGACCTTGAAAGCAAAAACGGTTTTCGATCAATAACTAAAGAACCTTAAGGCCTAGGAACTTCAAACTTGGTATGGTGATTGGTCATGACCAGTAGATGACCCCTAATGATTTTGGGGTCAAGGGGTCAAAGGTCAAGGTCACATTGACCTTGAAAGCAAAAACGGTTTCCGATCAATAACTAAAGAACCTTAAGGCCTAGGAACTTCAAACTTGGTATGGTGATTGGTCATGATCAGTAGATGACCCCTATTGATTTTGGGGTCAAGGGGTCAAAGGTCAAGGTCACATTGACCTTGTAAGCAAAAACGGTTTCCGATCAATAACTAAAGAACCTTAAGGCCTAGGAACTTCAAACTTGGTATGGTGATTGGTCATGATCAGTAGATGACCCCTATTGATTTTGGGGTCAAGGGGTCAAAGGTCAAGGTCACATTGACCTTGAAGGTAAAAACGGTTTCCGATCAATAACTAAAGAACCTTAAGGCCTAGGAACTTCAAACTTGGTATGGTGATTGGTCATGATCAGTAGATGACCCCTATTGATTTTGGGGTCAAGGGGTCAAAGGTCAAGGTCACATTGACCTTGTAAGTAAAAACGGTTTCTGATCAATAACTAAAGAACCTTCAGGCCTAGGAACTTCAAACTTGGTATGGTGATTGGTTATGACCAATCAGATGACCCCTATTGATTTTGGGGTCAAGGGGTCAAAGGTCAAGGTCACATTGACCTTGTAAGTAAAAACGGTTTCTGATCAATAACTCAAGAACGCTTAGGCCTAGGAACTTCAAACTTTGTGTGATGATTGGTCATGACCAGCAGATGACCCCTATTGAATTTTAGGTGAAGGGGTCAAAGGTCAAGGTCACATTGACCTTGTAAGTAAAAACGGTTTCTGATCAATAACTCAAGAACACTTAGGCCTAGGAACTTCAAACTTGGTATGGTGATTTGTCATGACCAGCAGATTACTCCTATTGATTTTGGGATCAAGGGGTCAAAGGTCAAGGTCACAATGACCTTGTAAGTAAAAACGGTTTCTGATCAATAACTAAAGAACGCTTCGGCCTAGGAACTTCAAACTTGGCATGGTGATTGGTCATGACCAGCAGATGACCCCTATTGATTTTGGGGTCAAAGGTCAAGGTCACATTGACCTTGTATGTTAAAACGGTTTCCGATCAATAATAAGAGAACCCTTAGGCCTAGGAACTTCAAACTTGGCATGGTGATTGGTCATGACCAGCAGATTACCCCTATTGATTTTGGGGTCAAGGGGTCAAAGGTCAAGGTCACATTGACCTTGTAGGTAAAAACAGTTTCTGATCAATTTACTAAAAACGCCTAGGCCTAGGAACTTCAAACTTTGTATGATGATTGGTCGTGACCAGCAGATGACCCCTATTGAGTTTTGGGTCAAGGGGTCAAAGGTCAAGGTCATGACCAGTAGATACTTTATAACCCTTTTAATTGTTTGATCACTGGGTCAGAAGTCATGCATCATAACCTTATCACATGACTAATTGGCTGCTGATAGGGGGCATACATGTTTTACAAACATATCTTGTTTTCTTTGCTGTTGGGACTATGTATGCTGTGACAAACAGAGAAGAAATCTGTGCACAAGTGGTTAAGAGGTCTGCCACTCAACTCACATGTCATGAGTTCAAATACCTTCTTTTTCGATTCACAACTTATCAGTCCAGGAAGTTTACAAGAGGGTGATTTCAATAAGCTGACAGCTTTTCTCTCAATCACATGTTGTAAACTTTAACACTGAAAATTAACAATTTTTATTTTTCAAATTAGAAAAAAGCGAGCAAAACAAGAAGCATACAAGCTGGAGCATATACAGAAAGAGCTATCAAAGCTTGATCATCTTCTAACAGCTGATGTGAATGTTGTAAGAGAGAAGATAGAAGAGGCCAGCAGGGAGTTTCTAGAAGCACAGTAAGTTATATACATTTGTATGTCATAAATTTACAGACTCTAAAATAACTTGACCAAATGTCAACCTCAATGAGAATGAGTATCTTACACAAGAACTGGAATTATGACTCACAGGTCACTTGCAGTCGTAGATAAGAAGATTTTTGCATGTCTGGGTGTTACAGAAAATAACTTGTCAGAAATATCATTCTCAGTGAGTGGCTGTGTTGCGCACAATTTCTTGGTCACTTTGGTTATTTATATTGGAAAGTTCAGTTTGATTTAAATTTGATTGAGAATATTTCAGGAAAGAGTGCAATGCAATACAGTCCAACCCCGTTTATTCGAAGTGCCTGGGACTGAATATTTACTTCGAATAATCGATGGGTTCGAATAATCGGTATCCGAATATTGTGATAGACGAAAACTACTCCACTTTGACGAATCGTAGCAAAACTACCGTTTACAACACATTAACTTCCTGTAATCAATTGAGAAAAATAAATATTAAAGAAAAGATGCGTAAAAATTATTGTATTGACATTGAAGACATAAATACTTGCATTTTATTCTACATCGTTTCGTTTCGCGCAAAACCTTGATAATGGCCGTGTTGTCACTACGGTATTTACAGCTAAACTCTGGTATTTTCGATTAGGAAAAAGGCTCTTATGTAGCGTTTTGGATGTTTTGACAAATTTACATATTCGGTATGTATGAAAAATATTGCTGTCATCTTCAAGCAATAACAGTAACAAAATCGGACACGGTGCATCGCTTTTCATTTTCGGTACTTAAAGTTGATTAAAGAACACAAAAAGAGCTATTATCACGATTGTCTAAATACATGCATGACTATTGATGTTTTTCACAAGTCGACCAGTCAGCGAGTGGATCTGCGCCAATTAGTCTGACTTCGAATAATAATTAGGCTGGCTTCGAATAATAGGTGTGAAATTCTTTCATAATTGTATAATCGGGACCGAAATTTTACTTCGAAAAATAGGAGGTATTCGGATAATGCATTTCGAATAATACACTTGTATTTATATTGATTTATATAGAGATAAAAACGGGACCGCCGATCTACTTCGGATAATGCCGGGTATTCGAATAAAGGGTTGTCGAATAACCGGGGTCGGACTGTAATTAACACTTTATTTTTTGAAGTTTTTTTAATGTATTAATTTCTTTGAGAAACAGAATTTATGTAAATAGTACCCAAAAGAAAACAAAAGCAAAAGTTCATTTAATCTTCAATATCCAGTGATGAGAAAATGAAAATATTGTTAGATATTTGTGTTGTTTTTTGATACAATATGACATTTCAAGAATATTCTTCTTTTCCTGTGTAGAAAACGTTTCCAGAGGGCAGAGAAAGAATATGTTGAATCAAAGATTGACCTTCATAATAAGTCAGACACCAAAGAACAATTAACAGAGCACCTGTATACAATAATTCATCAGAACGAAGTGCGTAAAGCTCAAAAACTGGCTGATTTAATGAAAGAACTGGAAATGGAATCAAGCGATGAGGATGTGAACATTCAGCTTCCGGAGTTACCTCCCCTTACATCATTCCAGCAGACAAATCTTCATTTGTCGCCCAGTACGGGGCAAACAATTATTGAACAAACTAAGATGAAAGCTCCTGAAAGTCCATCTACTAGTGACGGAAGCAAATCTCCAGAAAACTGTGATAAAAATAGTAACACCATTGTGATTCAACCAAACAGTCCTTGTGATGGTTCTGAAGTGAAATCCTCAGAAACTGAAAATAGTGTACAAAATTCATCACAACAGCCAGTTCCCAGCTTTACAATAGTGGAAGATGGGGAACCAGTTTCTGTTGTTTATGATGAAGAAGCTGACATAAAAAAGAAAGAAAGCAATAAAGAAGTGATAAAACAGACTGAAGAATCTCAAAATAAGTCAACGGATATCCACGAATCTTTAAATGAAAAAGAAAAACCTGAAAATAATGTACCAAAAGTGAAAACCAAATGGGATTTTGATGGATCATTGAAATAGCAAAATTAACTGTATACTTGTGGTAAATTTTATTGGTTGTATTTGATATACTCATTGGGTTGAAAAAAATTATATTTAGATAGTGCTCACTGTAGTTTTTTTTGCACTAGATTTTAGTTTTAGAGATTAACAGTTCCAGCACAATTTAACCTATTAATTTATCTGCTAAAATAATCATCCTATCACACCAATATAAACTGCATGCAGTCTAACTAGGTTTTTTACTATTGGCTGGTCCTAAATCTGACTTTGATGATGAAAACCCCTTGAGATAATAATAAACAGTTCTAACTTTTAATATGCAAGACAAATCATTGTTTATAAAGTCACCTTATTGTAAACTCCTTGCATAATTTAATAGAAGTTAAACTATTACTGCACCCAAGGTGCATAGTTAGCATAGTTAAAATTGAACAGTTGGAAACAGTTGTAACTGGTTTATTAGTAATTATTAAAACAAATGTAAAAATTTACAAATCAACAACTTTGGTGGTTCTACTCGGGTGCCAGCTCATGCCTGAAATAATGCAGGAAGGGGCACCTGAGGTTTTCCTCTGCCAGTAAAGCTGGAAAGTCACAATATGATCTCTGTTGTGTTGGTGCCATCTAAAGCCCAACAAAGCAAACAAACTAATGTGTTTCTTACTAGTGGCATAGACATTAAATTATAGTTGTATAGCAAAGTTAATATGTAGAATATAATTAGAAAGTGCCATAGTTTAAATATTTAAACCTCCCGTCAGAGAAGTGCGGGGAATATATTCTGAACATGTCTGTTTGTCCATAGACTAGACATTGTGTAATTGTTGATTAGAGAGAACAATTTGGCCTATAGACCTGAGATTTTGTTCAGAGATAGGTCATTACTCGTGTTAATCTTGAAGTCAGAAGGTTTACATGTATTTTTTCCTTTCAGTGCTAAATTTATAGAAATATAAGAGCCTTTTTTTTACATGCAAACTAAAGTGGGTATGTGCCTTTCAAATGTCAGGTCCTGTGTTTATTGTAACATTGATTTTGATCCAATTATTATTGTAATTCATATTAAGATTCCTAACTTCTATCCAAAAAATGAGTTTTTTCATTGCTAATTATAAAAATTTGTATATTAACTATATTATTTCATCACAATAAGACCAATGTGAAGTTTCATATATGCAATAAAAACATAATCAGGGCCATTTAATCCTGTAAATTTTCTTTATGAAAACAGACCACACTATGTTGAAGATTATTTCCGTCCTGCAAATAATTATTGCTTTATGATATTGGTATATGCATGTCAATGAGATTTTATTTATCTGCCATTTTCATTCAGTAACACACTACCAAGGGTTGATCAGGTAATTAGTTACTGTTAATTTTGTTCATGTAATGTTTTAATACACCTATGTGATATCATTAAACTTTTTTATGGGATTTTGACTTAATGGCGAATTTGTCGTATTATTTTCAGTATATGGGAAAAGAACCAGTGTATATCATTGATGCTTGTTTTAAACTTACTTTCATGCTTAATTTGTTTCACACTCTAACCATTATAACTGTAAACAACTGAGACATAGTTTGAAGTTTATGAGTTGTGGTTTTGTATCTTGTTCTTTTACTAGAAAACGGGCTGAATTTCCTAAATGGACTTGTCCTGTTTCTATTTTGGATCTGTCCATAATAAATATAAGTGATATCATAATGAAAATTTGAGAATTGATCAGTCAGCCAACAGTATAGAGCCAGGAATGATTAAATAGATGTACTGGCTGGCAAGGGCTTCATAATTTCAGTTTATGAATTGTTAAGAATTTTACCTAAATTTATTGGGTCAAGTGCCTTTGTATCTAGTAATGTTGTTGATTATTATCATTTTATGAATTGTTAAAGAGTTTACTTAAATTTATTGGGTCAAGTGCCTAGTAATATGCACAAATTGCTTCTAGTTTATCTCATTGCCTTTGTTATATTCTACTGAAATATATAAATTTATACTAAGCATTGTTAGTAAATTGTAATATTTTATCATAAGATGGGTAATGCATACTGTAAACTGATTTTAATCTGAGGGAAATCCAGGGATTTATATACATACATGTCCTTTATTAACATATTATTAAGCAAGGCTTTGTTTTAGGCATATAAAAGAACACACCTTGTTTGTTTTTTTATAATGATACATTAGACAGTTGAATTATAAGCTTAATATAGGAATTATATACATGTAAATGCATTAAAGAAAATGCTATATATCATCATGTTTGGATATATTTAGCGAATGGTGAAGTATCCATCTTCATTTTTAACATGAAAAAAGAGTGGCATTCTTTTGTTTCAAATTAAGAAATTTACAAGCCCTACTAACTAAATTTTCTTAACTGCTGAGGGTAAGGAGTTAATTATCATTCTGTCTGATTGCTGAGGGCAAGTAGGAATTAATTTACATCCTGCCCGACTGTCGAGGGCAAGTAGTAAATTTACAGTCTGCCTGCATTTGATGGCAACTATTAAATGATCTACATCCTACTATACTGCTGAGGACAAGTAGTAGTTTATTTACTAGACTGCTAGAATTTTGAGGCAAGGAGTAGATAATTTACATCCTGCTGAGGTTGATAACATGAAGGGCAACACATTTTACCATGAGCTTTGTACTTAATTTGCAGTTTTGTCCCTTGTGGCTTTTGATGATTACACGAAATGTAGACATTGTCCATGCAAAGGACTTTTTGATGCTGAAAACATTAATCCTAAACCACCTACAACCTTATACCATCTCAACATACTAGAGTGTTTAATTAATTTTGTCTTTCAGGTAGATTTTGCCTTAGAGGCAACAGGCAAAATATTTTACCAGTTTTGCATTTACTTATGACTCTTTGTTTAATTCAGTACTTAAGTTTAATTTTGCCCACCAGTATTGATAAAATACACATCTATGCACTTTATATATGATTTATTTCATACAATTATTTTCATACATAATATTTTTGGTAAGATTATATTACATTGTTAAAGAATTCTATACACAAAGTGGGAAATCTGTTAAAATATGCAAATAAATATATAAAAAAAACATACTGAATAAGTTCTTTGTTCTTGTTTCATTATATATGATTATTATAACATAAAGTGAATGTAGTGTCAGAGTTGTCAAGACCTGGTTTCTCTATTATACTGTACAGTAAACATCATCATTTACACATTACCATATAAATATTAACTTTGAACGAAATTAATTAGAAAAGTTGTCAGACAAGGTGCTGCAGTTTCTCAGTAGATAGTAAAAACAAGCACCATGTATATGTTAGTGTTCATCCGTGCTGTTCTACAGAAATTAGAAACTTCGACGGGAGCGATAGCGACAGGAGAATGTTTCTAATTTCTGTAGAACAGCTAAGGATGAACACTAACATATTTAGTGTCAAGCTTTATTTGGCCCTTGATTACGTCACTACGCAGTACTATGAAGCACTATGAAAAATAGTAGGCGACTATGAACGAATTTCAATATAGTATCGACTTTTTTTCTTCTATGAAAATTAACACACATAATTTTTAAGAAATACAGCGTTTTCATTGGATGACAATTAAAGCTGGACACTAAGGATAATTAGTGAAATTCGATAATAACATTATTGGTCTTGGACAATGACCATTATTATGCCCTGAAGACAAGTGAGTTCCTTTCAGTTGTTATGAAGCTAGGACTTGCATACTAAACATTTACTAAGAACTTTGTCAAGTTTTTATTTTATTTACATGTAAATTGTCAAAGTAGTATAATTTAGTAATTATCCATCTTAGGGTGGATAGTTTTGTTTGTTTGTTTCATTTTACGTCTTTACCCAACAGTATTTCAGTCATATAGGCGGGTAGTTTCCTAACCATCGTTCCTGGAGAGTTACACCAGTACTTAAAACTAACTTCCTCCGTGCAAAACTACCAAAGCATCTCCCGGGGATCGAACCCACGCCAGAGAGGGAACTGGATTAGAAGTCATCGACTCTAACCCCTCGACCATGGATAGTAAAACAATACTAGTGGCATTGAAAATAAAGTGAAATTACATGACAAGAGTTATGGGTCTTGGGTAAATTTTGCAAAGCTTTAAGAAGTGTTCATGAATAGGATGGCCAAACTATGTGTCCAATAATCCAGCTGATAACTTGATGAAAAAATACGTACATAAAATGTTTTGAAAAATTCTCAAAAATTAACTACAAAACATGAATGACAACACATTGGGTAAAACTGAATTCACAGAAAACACATGTTAGCTTCCTGTTCAAGACAAATAAATTATATAACCAAATGACTGGTAAATTGTAACAAATAGTAAAAGAGTGTTAAACTGACTTTATTACATAGAGTACAACATTTAATTTCTTGAGTATATCAATTTACAATTCTGACTATTACAAACTCAGACAATGATTTTTTTTAGATACATTGCATCTTACATTCATTTACATGCAGAAAAAACAAACTTTCATTTGTACAAAATTTACGCAGAACACAATTCCCAGGCTACAAATGACCTCATTTGTGACATCATTTATTGTGAAAATATTAAGTATGATGTAACAATTTAATGCGATGTAAAACCCAACGAAACACAGAATATTTTTTTGAATTTAAGTTTTTGTTTAATTTGTAATATAAGTACCATAAAATTCCTAATAAACGCCCCCGGGGGCTAAACATTTTCCAAAACAGGGGCTATTATTACAACACAGTTTTTCCTTAATAAAACAAGAGCTGTCGGTAGGACAGCAACGCTCGACTATTCTTAGTGCTTGATAGTAAAAAAAAATGCTTGATACAGTTACCTCCTCCTGTCTACAGGTTGGAGTAATGATGGTGAACAAGTGTGCAAAGTTTCAAAGCCATATGTCAATGGACTTGGAAAATATTTAAGGTATTACAAAAACTTTAACATAAATTCTAAGTCGAAAAAGGGGCATAATTCTGTCAAAATGCTTGATAGTTACCTCCTCCTGTCTACAGGTTGGGGTCACGATGGTGAACAAGTGTGCAAAGTTTCAAAGCCATATGTCAATGGACTTTGAAAATATTTGAACTATTACAAAAACTTTAACATAAATTCTAAGTTGTAAAAAGGGGCATAATACTGTCAAAATGCTTGATACAGTTACCTCCTCCTGTCTACAGGTTGGGGTCATGATGGTGAACAAGTGTGCAAAGTTTCAAAGCCATATGTCAATGGACTTTGAAAATATTTGAACTATTACAAAAACTTTAACATAAGTGGTTACGCCGACGTGGACGCCGACGCTCGGGTGACTGCAATAGCTCTACTTATTCTTATCGAATAGTCGAGCTAAAAATCACTGTAAATACATTTAGTGTTAGCAAGTGTTGGTAATGACATTAAAAATGTAAAGGTTTTAAAGTTCATATTATAAATATTTGTGTTTACTATAAAATACTATGGATTCTGAATGATTTGAATAAAATTATGGCTTTAATTATGAGTTCAGCACTGGTGAGTAGATTGTTTTCCCTATCAAAAGGCCTGGGGGGCCTTTATTAGGGGAAGGGCGTTTATTAGGAATTTTACGGGATGAATGCAAAGTGATAGAGTAGTTATAAGTCTATGTTTAAGTCTATGTTAAAAAATAAAGAACAATTATTGTGATAACAACATAGTAATCCCACAGAGCCAGATATGTAAATGGGTTGTCCTATGATATTGCTGTTCAGTACAGAGAAACATTACTATAAACTCAAGAGTGTTGCCCCCAGTGATTAATTAAAATACATCTAAACAGCAAGCTGTGCAATACTATTTATAACACAAATAAAATTTATAAAATCTATTTCCACTGAAAAAAGAATTATTAGAAATATTCTGACCAAAAGAAGTAATTTGCTTGACTGCACAAAAGAAAGACATGGTTTATTTATACACAATGAATGGTCCATATACAATGTACATGATTTACAATATTTCATCAAAAATGTAAAAATTCAACAAATGGTTTCATCTTCAGTCAATAAAAACTTTATAGAAGTATTGCAATTACTCTTTAAATATGCATTTCTCATGTATGCAAAGTTTCAGATAAAAAAACATCAGTTCATACTAATAAGTGAAATAGTAAAAAAGGAAACATATTATTGTAACATGTAGTTATTGCAGAGTTTATTTTGTCATCTGAGTGGGTGGGGAGAAGAATCCGCCACCTTGCTTGCTTGCAGCTCTTGATGGGGCGAGGCCCAACATCTTCTGAATATTCTAAAAATAGAAAAATGAACAGATCTATCAGAATTTAAATTCAACACCATTTAAAAATATGATAATACTTTTCAATGAAGGAACTCTCTAAAAGATGAAGTTAATTTATCAGCATGTTCATCTCTATTTATTATCAAAGGCGGATACAATAAATTTTATCTTATACCAAAATACAATGCTAAAATTCATAATGAACTTGTCATGCTTTAAAGATATACCTTGTTCATCTTTGGATAAAATATTTTTATCTAACAAATGTATTGTAATCCATGAAATTCTTACTGAACATGTTTAATTTGAATAAAATAATGAATAAACTATATATGGGAAGCTGCATTCCCTATTACGGGTCAAGTAAATTTGGTCTTTGCTTAAAAAAACTGTTTTTTAATGAAACTTTTTATTCATATTGTGACTACCTGTAGCGTGTAGAGTTCAAAACAAAACATTTCTACTTTAAATTAAGACGAAGCATATAGTTTATATGTTTATTTTAAACATTCAAAGAGACTGTGTAGCAATTATTAATATATTTAAGAATCAAATTTGAGCATACTATATCTTTAAACTAGGATCTGTTCATTGTTATTGCAAGGGATGTTCAAAATGCTTACATTAAATATGATTAAAGAAGAGACCATGTTAAGATTCCAGGGAAGTACAGGCTGCCCTGGTTCTACACTCTTACATTATTCATGGAGTAGTGTTACGGAAATTTAACTAATAGTTTATTGGAATTCAGTACTAAAATTTCAAAACTGACTAAAATAGTAAAGAACCTGGTCAGACAATACCAAAGTGTTTTTTACAACAGTTACCTACTTTCAAGGAGTTAAATATTACTCATTCGAACACTACCCGCATTTGTTCCTAATGAACATAGAAGAACCTAAATTGTGTGTTATTATGCAATAAAATCACTTTTGACGTTCTACATTTAGACATGTGACATAATCATTATATACATGTGACGTTAACCACTAAACAAGAGGGCCATGATGGCCCTGAGGTCGCTCACCTGTATATAGCCCCCCCCCCCCCCCCAATTCTTATCCAAGGGCTTTTATTTGTTTATTTGAACAAACTTGGTAGATACCCATAAGAAGATGTTTCATGCTAAACATCTAAGTTCTAGCTCATTGGGTTTTTTAAAAAAGATTTTTTAAGTTTTACTATACACATAATTATAGTTAAAAACAATGACACCCCTGGGGCAGGGCCAGTTTTGACCCCTGGGCTTTTATTTGAACAATTTTGTAGATATTTACTTAAAGATGTTTTATGCTTAATATCTAAACTCTAGCTATTTGGTTTTTTTCAAAGAAGATTTTTAAGTTTCTGCTATACACATATAAGGAAAATCAATGACCCCCGGGGCGGGCCAGTTTTGACCCCAGGGCTTTTATTTGAACATATTTGGTAGACACCCATTAGAACATGTTTCATGCTAAATATCTTAGCTCTAGCTCTTTGGGTTCTCTAAAAGAAGATTTTTTTAAGTTTTTACTATATGCATATAGGGAAAATCAATGACCCCCCGGGGCGGGGCCAATTTTGACCCCAGGGCTTTTATTTCAACAAACTTGATAGACATTCACTAGAAGATGTTTCATGCCAAATATCTATGCTCTAGCTCTTAAGGTTCTTTAAAAGGAGATTTTTTAAGTTTTTACTAAATGCATATAGGGAAAATCAATGACCTCCTGAAGCGGGGCCAATTTTGACCCCAGGGTTTTTATTTGAACAAACTTGGTAGACATTCACTAGAAGATGTTTCATGCCAAATATCTTAGCTCTAGCTCTTACAGTTCTTTAAAAGAAGATTTTTTTAAGTTTTTACTATATGCATATAGGGAAAATCAATGACCCCCCGGGACGGGGCCAATTTTTGACCCCAGGGCTTTTATTTGAACAAACTTGGTAGACACTCACTAGAAGATGTTTCATGCCAAATATCTTAGCTCTAGCTCTTACAGTTCTTTAAAAGAAGATTTTTTAAGTTTTTACTATATGCATATAGGGAAAATCAATGACCCCCTGGGGCGGGGCCAATTTTGACCCCAGGGTTTTTAATTGAACAAACTTGGTAGACATTCACTAGAAGATGTTTCATGCCAAATATCTAAGCTCTAGCTCTTACAGTTCTTTAAAAGAAGATTTTTTAAGTTTTTACTATATGCATATAGGGAAAATCAATGACCCCCCGGGGCGGGGCCAATTTTGACCCCAGGGCTTTTATTTGAACAAACTTGGTAGACACTCACTAGAAGATGTTTCATGCCAAATATCTTACCTCTAGCTCTTTGGGTTCTTTAAAAGAAGATTCTTTAAGTTTTTACTATATGCATATAGGGAAAATCAATGACCCCCTGGGGCGGGGCCAATTTTGACCCCAGGGCTTTTATTTGAACAAACTTGGTAGACACTCATTAGAAGATGTTTCATGCCAAATATCTAAGCTCTAGCTCTTAGGGTTGTTTAAAAGAAGATATTTAAAGATTTTTCTTTCGGTTGCCATGGCAACCAGAGTTCTGTATGGAATTAAATTCTTTGAACAATTTTTAAAGGTGACCACCAAAGGAACATTCCTGTGAAGTTTGGATGAAATTGGCTCAGTGGTTTATGAGGAGATGTCATTTAAAGCAAAAGTTTACGGACGGACGGACGACGGACGGACGGACGGACGCCGGACGAAAAGCGATCACAAAAGCTCACCCTGTCACTTTGTGACAGGTGAGCTAAAAATGCGATGCGCTGAAATACGTACGGGAACAAATCGGGTGCAATTTAGCCTAACATCAGGTATGGCAGCATTTATTTATTAATGTTGTGTTAGAATCAAAATAATATATCCTAACCAGTGATTTTATCATTGTCGTTCGGATGCCCATCATTATATAACTCATGCTACACCCTCGTGATATATTTCCATGCATCCAAACTCCAAACAGTGATTTTATTGAGCGATAAAATCACAGTTTGGGATATATTATTTCTTAAATATACTTTTCAATATACTAAATAAAGAAGAAAATAGCGTTCAACCAACCTGTCGTATAGACATTGTACACAGTATATAGAGAAATATAAATGAACAATCTGTGTAGTCTTCCCCTGCTAGATTTCTATGTGAGATACCCTGAATAAATGAGATAGGTACAAATGGAAGCTTGGCCACTACTCTGCCATCAAAACTGAAATAAATAAACACATAATACTGATCTACATTTTTACATATTTAGTACTTTTTTTACTAAATTATTTAAAACTAATCGAAAGGGATAACCCATCAAACCGAAAAGAATTTTATTGTCCTTTTTCACTTCTGACTAAACATGACTGTCCATAAGTAGGTACCATGGAAAAAGCCAAATAAATACTAAGTCACTAGCAGGAATTTAGGTAGAATTGTTAGTGTTTACAGGATAATGGACACTCTATCATATGATCTTTATTTACATTGAAATAAGATTAAGTACTACATACAGTGAAGAATTTTAAACCAATCTTTTAACAAATAACTATTAATAAAATTATAGATGGAATAATATACATTACTCACATTGAATTAAACATACTAAGCAAGCTGGTGAATGCAAAACCAATGGCAAACATGGACTTCATCTTAACCTGAAAAAGAGATTGAATTTTGTCATTAATATTTCTGCCTTTCACAAATACCCTGCTTTATTTGTTAAATGGACTAGTCTAACTTTAATTTGAGAAAGTGTCCCTCATGACTTTGAGAGATTTTAATACCAAATGATAAAAGCTAACAAACTAAAGTTTGTGTGACAGTTTTGCAAGCTGGCATAGTTCTATACTGGTGTGAAAAGACTTTACTGCTTCTTGCATTTAATGTGTTAAAGATAACAAAACAAATATTTCATGTCACACATAGTTCACGGTATATGTCATGAGGAAATTGATTTAAAGGATTTCTTTGCAAACACTGAGAAGCAATGGTCAGCTTATTCCTATTTTATGTTTGACCATATTTTGACAAGAAGTCAAAGAGTGAGCAAGTGAATGTCATGCCCCCAGGGGTGACCTTGAACGTGTACCTTGTGTCTGCTGGGTAAAGCTAATCAACGTGTATGAACATGTAAATTTTACAGGCTGTATATGAACAGATTTCTTAGTGACAGTCAATGATCCAGGGGCTTAAAAAATTGAAAATGAATGAGACATTACTTTTGCTTATCAAGATCAATCAATATTATTCAAACTCCTAAATTTTTTATGGAATGAAAAGTTAAACAAATGTTGGAACTTTACCATAGAAAGGTCCCTATTGTTATTTTTCAATCTTTCCTCTTGTCTTTCTGAAAAGTAAAGAGAATGAAATATTACGCAAGATGTTAAATGCTTAGTGACATTAGATAATCTACAAGAGTGTCTCTTGAGGAGTTAAACTGTATTTTTATTTTAAGCTCTATCTCTTCAATTCATTCTAATTCTAAATTTCTTTATTCACAAAACTTGAAGCGATGAGGTATAGATAATCCAGGCATCTGCATTACATCAATATAATATACATAATATCACATGACATAACATATCATAACATCAGAATTTGCTACAGTGGACAGTGGAATCGAAGAAAATGGAACAACCAATTTAACTTGGCCAAATTTAATGAAGATTTATGAGCAGATCTCTATTCTTACTTATGGTGGCCCTATGAAAGGATAGAAATTTACAGATGGGGCAATCACTAGAATAAAACATTTGCTGCAGATATTTCCAATATTTTGTCTTTATTATTAGCTCAATTTGAACAATTTAGTATGGCTAACTAAACAATTTTAAAAAGAAGGCAAGAAAATAAGAAGTTACTAACCAATTTTCTTTTTTTGACTTCTATCAGAGGCTTCCACTTCTTTTTGTTTTTCCACTGAAAGAATAAAAGAGATGATAGTAAATGCAAGACCCTGTTCAGTTTTTTCAAGTATGGATTTTTCTATTAATAATAATTGTAACAACTTACAAAATTGACAGTAATACTTTTTAAAAACAAGCTTATAGTGATTTTATAATCTCACTGCAACAAAGATTCAAATTAAAGACAGCTGGTCATATATTTCCATTAGAAAAGGAATACCAGAAACAAAGTATGTATGGGGTATGTATAAAACACACACTATACTAATCATTGATGGGAGCATACGTCGGTGGATTATGAAGTGAGCATTCTAGACATGCCTAACATATATGCTTGTTTTTTTCCCATAAAAAGTAAATATATAAATTGTTTTCATGCCAACAGTCTTCTGTTTCTCATCCAATTGGACAAGTCGCTACAACTTTCTTCATGTCCTGCTGCATATTTTACTTGTAGATACAAGTCCACCAGTGGAATTATCAATCTTTATATTGGTCATGAAATTATGCATTTCTAGTACATTCTATGGGAACTTAAATCAAGTATTCAAACGTATAAACAATACATGTATTGGTATTAATATTAATATTTGACTTTTAAATTTTTTGTTCAGTTTTCAGGCCTTGAAATTTGATGGCCCCCTTTCTCAAGGCATGTGGGCAACTTAACCCCTCTTTCAGACAAAGCTAGATTTAACACTGGATAAGATTATATCAGACTATAAAATATTGCTGTTTTGTATTGTGTATTGACACATACTTAAAAACATAGACTTACATTTTTTACTTTGCTTTTCAACTTCAGCTTTTAACTTTTTGTACTTTTCTGTTCTGTACACCAGCAGCCAAGTTAACCCTGGAAAAAATTTAGACCATCATTTATTGTTAACAACAAGTTTATAACTAGCAAAAGGTTAATATATCAAGTACAATTATACAACAGGATACATGAATACATCAGCAATCGTAACAACTGTCAAACACAAACTGAAAATCCACCTCATGGCTAAGAATTTGCATAAAATAATTTAATGATATTCATAAGTATAAAGGCTATATCACAGATTATATATTTTAAGTATTATTAACAATATGTAGACTCTAATTAAATAAAGTTAGTTATACAAATATAGACTGATAAACTGGCTGGTGAAACACTGAAAATGCCCAATCGGGCTTATGACATATAAAATCATTTCTAGAAAAATAATAAAGATATTTCTTTTAAACTATAATGTTTGTTTATTGAGCATATAATATGACAAAAACAGAGGGAGAGAAATATTTTGTTACTGTCACTTGTGAGAATTATTTCCCTTTTCTCATGTTTTTATAACACATATATTTTTTGAATCCCTTCAAAAATATCTTACATATGCAAAGAATAAAACAAAATAGGTTAAATAACTTCATTATCCTCCAGTTCATTGTATAAATTTCACCCAGTTTTCAGAGAAAGCTTCAAAGTATAATATTCAGTGTCAAAGAATTGTCAAAATATAAGCTAGAAACAGAATATTAAATCTAAATATATGGGGAAAAAAGTACTGGCACAATAATCTTGAGCAAATGAAGTTGTTAGCCACATTTCTGTTATTTTGTGTTAAGAATTTAATATTACAACATAGATTTGAAGGACTTCAACAATTATGTGCTGTATATCCATGAAAAAGGGAAATAATTCTCACAAAAGTGACAGTAACCAAGTATTTTTCTTTCAATTTATATAATATTTTATACTCTATAAACAAAGAAAGTTTAAAATAAATATCTTCATTATTGTTCTAGAAAAGGATACAATTATTTTATGTCATTAGCCTGATCGGCCATTTTACCATCCTGGTAAATTTATTTTTACTTTTTTAGTAAGGCACTTTTAAAAATTATATGAAAGTCGAAAATGCATATGTTATTTTATTACTTTACGTGATGATTTTAACCAAGAAACAGCAATTGCCTTCGTATGTTTACCTTTTAAAGATTAATCGCCATGTTGGCTACAGTAAAGAAAGTATGAGTAATATCTATTTTATTATCTCCAGATGCCAAGAAAAAAAGAGTGTTTTGGTTGCAATTGAATAGCATCAATTAAAATAGTTTACAAAATTGTGATAATAATCATTTTTTGTTTCAATAAGTTTAATTTTCAACACCTTAATAATTGTTGTTGGGCTCTGATAATTGCGTCATTTACTGACAGTAAATGCTTGTCCATCATTTAGGAAAGTTTGCATGTTCCATGAAATGCATTCTAAAATTCTATGCCCTTGATAGACTTTAATTACGGCTAATTGATTGAGCTTTTATGTTCGATATTTGTGCTTTTATGTTCTTTATTCATGTACTGTATTTAAAAATAATACAATTGTTTTTGCTTTTCACGTTTTTTTTTTCAATGTTTTGATTTTTATTTATTTACTCCACTCTGATCATGCCGTTATGAAACAAGCTTCTTTTGCCGTTATAATTATTTATTCCATTTACTTAATTACCAAAAAATGATTTAGTAATTCATCTTTCATATAGATTAAATATTCAATTATTTAATCATAAATATAACTTTGCATGTGCTCTGTATAATGTTTCATGCAGCTTTGACACTTTTATCAAGATTACAAAGCTTGCATTACCTTCATATACATTTTTTTTTACAAAATGACGGAGCATCTGTATTAAAGTCAGAACACACAAAGACAAATGTGAGTACTTGGTTAAAATCCTTGTTTAAAAACACACAATAACATATGCATATTCGACTTTCTTTATAATTTCATAATTTTGAAAAGTGTTGTACGGCTAGCCAATACAGTGTGTCCTGGCTAGTCATACGTGACGCATGTACAATTAGAACTTTTGGGGAGCCATACGGCTCTTCAAATACTGTCCCGCCAAACACCTGTGGTTTCACCAACTTTTCAGTTGTTATAAATATCCATAATTATATGTCATTGTGACCTAAATTACATATGCTAAAGATGCAAAGAATGCAGTTTAAAAGTTTGCATATACATGATACATAGGACAATAAAAATTGCAAAATAATCAGGTAAAACTGTCAACTTGGGTCGCGAAAACATATGACAAATGCTCAAAACATTAATTCTGGTTTTCAAAACATTTTTAAAAAAATTGTTGAGAACACATAATTGATACCTTCTCCTAGTAAAGCTGTACATATTGAAATAAATATAATCAATAAACAGTCTGCCAGCATTTTGTTTTGTTTTATTTTTCTCTCGTCCTAGTCTGTAAGAATGACACTATGTGCAAATTAATAAGAGGCCACGTAATTCTAAATTTCAGGTATCAAGCCGCTAAAATCACAAGGGCGGCCTATGTCAATACGGGTTATACATGTATAATTTATGCATCTTTTATAATATTAGTGCTGTGCAAAAAACATACAAAAGATCATTTTAAAAATCATTTATGGTCTGTTTGTACCAAATGCCAACATCATTGCTGTCACATTTTATGTCGGTCAAAAGCTATACATAGCTTATGTTTTGTAAAATGTTATATATTTATACTGACAATAAATAAATTTTGATTTGATTTGATTTGATTTGTTTTTGTTGAGGTACATGAAGCAACGGAAAATTCAAATTTTATGTTTTGATAATATACTGCATAATGACAGGATGTGTGATCTAATTACAAGTAATATTATGTGAATCAATATTGATGTGATTTTAATTGAAAATGTATAATTATAATATAATATAATGATTTCATTGAAGTATGTCCAGCTGTAATTCACACTTATTAAAGATTATTCCATTAATATATCGAATTAGTCAAATCTGCCCTATCCAAATCGGACACAAGTCAAATAAAGATAAGAGGATAGAATACATGAGTGCAGTTATTAAAAAAAAATTTTAAAAAAATCTAGGTACTCTTTTTTTCTTTTTCTTCTGTATTTTAAAAGCTTTTTAACTTCATTAAATGTCTTAAATCTTCTTAATTTCCTGACTCAAAATCACAAACTTATGACCTGGAAGGCTACTCTACTAATGAATAGCTTAGTATGGGTAAGAGTTCGTATTAAGACGACCGTAGGGAGTCTTATCGAACTCTTACCCATATAACTTACAACTCGATATCAGATAAAAATATAGAAAGTGTCACCTCTTTAATTAAGCATAACATTATTTTTCCCCAGCAGTCACGTACAAACAAGGATGGGGTCCAATTACTTAATTTGGCATGTAAAACAATGAGTTTTCAACAATACCTAGGATTGTTAATGCAATTCATTCCTGTCATATGAAACAAAATAATGTTTTGCTTACTTTTTCTAGAAAATATGAACAGTCAGCAATTACTAATTGACTGTTAAAAGGATATCAAAAAGTTATATACTGTGTACTCATTTGTTTCTGCGAGCTGAGTTCCGCGTGCATTATCTATGTAATAAATTTGAATGTATCCTACAGTGTTATCAGCCTTTTTAGAAACACCTGACCTGGCTAATTAAGATATGTCAATCACAATTTTCACTATTAGCACTTGTTTCTTCATGGAAAAGCGGCTACACTAATTACTGCCGAGTAAGAGCCGATTTGCAGAAAAGAGTTCACAGTCCTACGCATAAACCCTTCCAGCCTGCTGAATCTCAGTAAGGGCTTATCAGCTAGTAAATCACTATTAACTGTATATCTCCCATTAACACGTCCACTGAGTTGAGAGTTTTGTCATTATTTATTGCCCCTCTGTATTCTTATCTAAGGCCGTGTCTACACCTATTCAAGTTTCTTACATGTCACATTTAGATAAGCTAAATAAATGGCCCTTTCAATATTTAACCAGGCACAATTTTTACTGGAATGTCTAATTAAGATTGTCCAGGATTTATACCTTTGTCTTTGCAATGCTATCATGTTTCTGTAAAATATGTGAATAAAAAAGCGGGAAAATGATGCAATTAGCTAAAAACAATGGAGTAAATGAAATTGAAATGTGTACATTCTTTTAAAATAATGGAAAATGTGAGAAAAATATTTTTTGAGCTGATAAATTGATGCAAGTTCTTTATTTGATGAAAGTTATTCACTAAATGAACAAAATCATTTAAAATCTATTTTGACTACTTGAAAAACTTCTTTTTTTTTTTTTTTTGCTCTTCTGTGTATCAGTTTATTGATATGATCCTCTGACCAAGATATTTTATACATTTATTAAAATTTACAGATCATGAACACTGAATCAGTAACAAAAAAGTCAGAAAATAATAAAAAAACAACACTATCACACCTTCGGGGCACATGTTTTGTGTCAAACCGGTGTTATCAGTGTCTTGACAGCCAAAAACTTGTAGAAAAATAGAACGTGTTCTAACTTTCTTGCAAGGAATTATCTTCTTGAATGTCACATAATTTCTCTTTAAAACTCATTCAAGTAGGGTGTCTACACTATCCAATACAAGAGAATATGATACTTGCATTCAAGACTTGGATAGGTGTAGACGGGCACTAATGGCCCCAACTTTGAAGGATCAAATTTCTATAGAAGATACACTCACTATCAATGTTTTTTTCTCCTTTCTTTTGTAAATGGGTCTGTGGCCCAATTGAATTGTGAAACTTAGCAATTATTTGTAAATATACTTTATAACATAAATTATGATAATTATTTTTTAAATTAATAATAAATAAAGTTCAATAGTTAAGTGTCACTGTTACTCATGTTACTGACTGAACCCCCCTCCCGGCTCGCTAAAAAACAAAAACAAAAAAACTGTTCATAGATGTTTTACTGCAAAGTGCAAGACTCTTAACTAAAATGACCAGGTAAGTATAAGCTCGACTCGACTATACTAAGAATGTGGTGAGTTGTCCTACTCACCTCGGTTTGCAAGTCGACGTCAGCGTCCATACTTTAAATTAATGTTTATGCGCCTATAACTTCTTTATTTCTTAAGGTATCAATTTCAAATATACATGTATATTCCTAATCATCATCCACATCATTTGATAAGGTGCAAAACTCTGAAACCAGTATTTCCAGAACTATATCCCATTGAACTTAAAATAATGTTATATTTTACTCTAACATCTTCATTTCATATTAAGTATTGACTTTAAACTTCAAACATGTGTTCCTTATCATCAACTACATCATATGTGACAATGTTTTTTTTACTCTAACACCAATTTTTCCAGGATTATCCCCCCATGAATTTTTTTTCCTCTCAAAAAATCTTTTTTATTTCTTAAGGTATCAACTTCTAACTTCAAATATATTTCCTTATCATGTGTGACAAGATTCATAACTGTAGCATGAATATTTCCAGGATTATTTCCCCCATTAAACTTTCTTTTAAAATAAAAATTGATATTTTTTAACTTTAAACAATAACATGGCAAGCTTCATAACTCTAGCATCAATATTTTCAGAATCATTATCCCTTTATACTTAGAATTTTCCTTATTAAATTCGGACTTCAACAAGAGCTGTCACACAAGATTAGTGACGAATGCCCCCGAAAAAGTTTCTTAAGCATGCAGGACTGGTAGTATGAAAAGAAAAGAGGATGAAAGTAACTAATTGCTTAATATTTTTCTTTGTATTATTGTACCTATAATCTCTTATTGTGATAGCGTATAAGTGTAACCCTGACCTTTGAAGAAGGGACGTGGTTCCTGGATACGACAGAATGTTGTCATGAGATAGACATTTGTGCCAAGTTATTTCAAAATCCCTCAATGCATGATAAAGTTACATACTGGACATGATTGTTGTGTAAGTGGGGACACACAAACGGACAGATGGACATAACCCTTTGCTGCGATACATTGTCCTGATGTGGTAGGCATTTGTGCAAAAGTTATTATAAAAGTTTTCCATGCATGCCGGACATGAATGTGTATCTTCAAACTCTTCTCGAATGAATGAATACCTTCAAACTATAAGTATGACCTTGACCTTGAAGGTAGGGATAGGGGTCTTAGTCGCGACATGTCGTCTTGATGTGGAAGATATTTATGCCTAGTTATTTTGTAATCCTTTGATGCATGACAGTCCGGACACGAATGTGTGTAACTATAAACTCTAATTTTGATATAGTGAACTTCAAAATGGTAGTGTGACCTTGACCTTTGAGGTAGGGGCGTGATAAGTTGACGCGTAACACATCGTCTTGATGTGGAAGACATTTATCCCAAGTTATTTTAAAATTCTTCCATGCATGACAAAGTTACATTCCGGACACAAATGTGTGAACCTATAAACTTTTATTGTGATAAAGTGAAACTTCAAAATGTTAGTGTGACCTTGACCTCTGAGGTAGGGACGTAATTCTTGGACGCGACACATCGTCTTGATGTGGTAGACATTAATGCCTAGTTATTTAAATATCATTCCATGCATGACAAAGTTATAGTCCGGACAGGAATGAAGTGGGGACGCACAGACAGACGGACGTCCAGACAGACAGAGGGACGGTGCGATTTTAATATGCCTCCCTTCGGCGGCATAAAAATGTTTTTTATCAACACCTATATGGGATTAGATTTAAAACTCATTAGTCCTGTATTTCTAGAATTATCTCCATTTCATTTTTGAATTAGGGATTTATTGAAAATTAATATATTTCTAACAATTATCTTTGTTATTATAAATGACATCAACTCTAGACTTAAGATAATTTTCCTTTGTCATTACTCACATCATGCATGACATGGTTTATAACTCTAGTATCCTTATTTCAAGAGATATTTCCTCTTTGAACTTAGAATTTTACTTTAAAAACTTTATTTACTTTTTGCTTGTATCATTTTGGTACCTTTTTTATAAAAAAAATCACATTCATCTCTTTCCCTACTAGTTTGAATGATAAGCTTCAATAATGCTTTGAGTCCATTATTATCATTACTAAACATTATTTTGCTCCTTCTGAAAAAAAGAAAAAGAATGTAAATCACTGAGGTATGATATGCCTTTAATATGAAAGTAATTTACAAAATCATTTTCATTGTGAGTTGTAAGTGATTAAAAACCTTTTTTTTACTGTAATCCAATTTGTATTTGTCTTCTTTACACTAAAAAGTTAAATATTAGTTTTTCGTTACATCTAAAATGTTTTCTAGACTTCCAGCTTAAACTATACATTCTTGAAACATGATAGGATCATAAAACATTCAATGGTGCTGCTATCAGTAATACAGTGACAATCCGTGTAATTATAATTAAATGCTCATCACTGGCCAGAGATAGGAAATTTTGGGGAAAACTGGAAATCTTGGGCTTGTGCGTAGGACTGTTCAGATGATATTGGGTACGAGATTGGGGTATGAAAAAAATGTTAATTTGTAGTAAGAATTTAACTATATAACAGATTGTGGTCTACAAAGGCTAGCTGATGTTGAATTTTGTATAAAATCTTAGTAAATCCTGGACATTTCTTTGCTATAAAGTATTCTAATGTAGTTACTATACAGTAACCTCTTCTGATGAAATCATAGTTGTTACAGACAAACCTGGCTGCAGCTCTCTGTGCACATTTTACTTTAAAGATCCTGATACACATTTTTTTATGGTTGTATATCATAAATATGATGCTCAAATTAAGATTTATCGATTTTGTAAGTTCCAAAAAGCATTATTTATAATGATATTACTGAATTTAATATTTCATGTACATAAAGGGAGGTAGTCCAACTAATTAGACTTGTCAAAGAGACACCGAGAAAATTTTGGACGGGCGCTGTCTTTTTCCAAATATTAACAATTTATTTATTTATTTATTTATTTATTTATTTATTTATTTATTTATTTATTTATTTATTTATTTATTTATTGTGACCGATGGGTACGACATATCTTGGGGCCGCTTTTAGTAATTTGGACGGACGGAATTTAGTGTGTTCACTTATTCAAAATGGCAGCCTCCATGGATGTTGTGAATGATGCTTGGAATTCAGCTACTAAATTTCTCAGTCCATGGGTAACATTGTTATTTTTTCCCTCTGATATTTTCAATAGTGTTATGAAGATTTTTTAATTGTGTAATTTTTGTTAAAAGTAGACTGAAATTTGAAAGTTAAGTAAGCTTCATTTCCAAGTTTCCCGTTGAAAATAGTAGGTGGGGTATGAAAAAATAAGTACAGCCATCCTACTGTCATTTCAGTCATCTAAGTTTTAAAAAGAAATAGATGTGTTATAATATGAAAAAGGCAAAGCCTCAAAGCGAGCTCGATTTTCTTTTACCGTAAAATAGTTTAAAATAATCGTTCATTTTTATTTTACATTTTCCGTTTTAAAATTGTCATTCGCCTGATTCGGTATTTTATAAATTGCTTCCGTTTATTCTGGTTCCCCCTTTCTATTATGGTTCCTATATAAGTGCGCAGGACACCAGTCGACACTTCTGTTTTCAATCAGAGTTCATCGGCTTTTATCGTTATCTTGTAATTCGAAAAAGTTGCGATGTGTCAATTCGGTACTTCAGACGTAAGTTTTCAAAACCATCACTTAGCAGGTACTCGCTGTTAAACTCTTCAGAACATAAGTGTAAGTTGGAAGAGACATTATTGTAAGGCTTTTTGTATGACATGAATTACCCAAAATGCCAATTGAATGGCAGAGTGATTTATCTTTATTTAGTATTCAGTAATTCTCATGTCTCCATATAATTAATGGCTTCATTACCTGTGATTTTCCTCCTGCCTATAAAAGGTCTCTTCTCAATTGCATTTTTTTACTTCCCAAATTTAATAGCAATTTTGCAGCAGTAACTTTTTACAAAATCAAGAGGCTTTGACATCTTCCCAATTAAGTGAGGAAAACCACTGATTACAATTAAGAATATGGCAGATTAAAAGAAAAGTTTGTTACACTTTAATATGATTTGTGAGACTCCGTTTAATAAATTGAATCCTAACACTTTTGTATATTTGTATGTTCATTTTATTGTGTTTTTTTTTTAATGACAGACTATTCTCACCCTTACCAGTTCCTCCTCCTGACGGTTCTCCCCAAACTGTTTCCTCCCCTGATGGTTCTGACCCAAATTTGAAATATGCAGACAGTTCTCCCCCATTTTTAAGTTATCCTTTTTAGTTTTGACTTAATCTAATAATATAATGAAGGTTTTTCAATGATATTAAGTGCCAAGAAATTTTTGGACATGTGACAGGCTAAGATGGCCTCAGGTCGATCTTAAGGTAACGTGTAAGCAATGCTGAAAAGCCTTTTACTGTATCTCAATCTATTGAGAAGTTGCAGCTCTTGGAAATCATTTTTGATGTAAAACAATGCGAAATAATGATATTTCACAATTTTGAGATGTCCTCAATTGCCATGGTAACAGGAAATTAACGATTGAGCATACTGTTACAGAGGCTATGGTCCAGTCATCATTTGTGCCAAGTTTCATCAGTATTGGAGCATTTTTCATATTTTTATAGCAGTTTGAACTTGTAACAGGAGGTTTTTCAATGAAAACAGCCATTTTTCACCATATGCTCATATATGGTAAAAGGTTAAATACTTCAATAATAATGTCTTAATAAAAATGGGGAGGAACTGTCTACTTATTTGCAAATATGCAGATGGTTCTCCCCCAAAATAGTGAGAGAATCATCAGGGAGGAAAAGTCAGGGTAGGAACTGGTAAGGGAGAGAATAGTCTGACTACCTCGTTTTAAATTTTGTGTTTTTTTTTTTGTTTGTTTCTTGTTTGTTTCTTGTTTAAATGTTAATATTAGAATGAATAATATTTGTGTAGTAAAGTTCTGTAAGTGTTGCAGAATATAATAGCACTTGGCAATTAAAATAATAATGCTTGTGCATAATTCACACCATTTTTATATTTTCAGGAAAATGCAACAATTCAGAACACAGGCTTTGATTCTGCTGTAAACGTATTGTGTCATAATGGACTTATTAATTTACTTGAAGACTGGTTCTTTGAGGAATTACAACGTGATTTACGTCAACGAGTTTCACCGGCTTTCTGGAGTTTCTTTGAAAACATTGCTAAAGATGGCACAGAAAATGAAAGAATTGAACAAAACATTGCCTGTCTGTTACAGGCTGCAGATTATCTCCACAAAATTTCACAAGAGTATCAACCTTGTCTTAATGCATTAGAGAATTTACCAAGGGAGATAAATAGAAATTACTCAATGTTATCATTTTGTGGGGTTGCTAAGGTAACAGATGTGGTACGAATTCTATTCAAGGCAGTTGTGTTTAACAAAGCTAGTAGAGAATTCAGAGAATGTGTGGGACAGTTCTATTCACAAGCTTTTAGAGTTTTCCATTATTTGAATCATGAATTAGAACAAGGTAGGACTTTTATCATTCAGATTCTATATTAATTATATTGTTAAATAATGAATTTTTCACCTTTGCGTCCTGCATCCAGAACAGTTTACACAGTGAATTTGTGGTGAACACAAAGTTTAAGGATTTGTGAATTTTCATTAGAATGAAATGGTGAACCAACATAAGACCATTTGTGATAGTTAATTGGTCTATTATTCAGTACCACTGAAGTAAGGAAAAGCACCACTGATATTGGTTGACTTATAGAAATACAGTTTGCGATAATTTCAGTAACAGTAGCATTGTAATTATTCTTATTAAATTCCAGTTTCTTTGTTTATCTACTTTTCATATCGCAAAAGCAATTACATTGTATAAGCCATCAAAACTTGTCTGTTCAATTTTTAGAATTATAGATTCAATCATTGTTTTAGCGAGTCCTAGGACACACACAATGATTTATTAAAAATTATTGTTCATGTCAAGTATTTATCTGACCTACTGTCACTCTGTCTGTAGATTGACAAAGCTGTGGAATGAAAGGACATCCTATGGACACATTCCTAGTGGTTAACATTTTGTAATTGTTTCCTCTAAATTGAAAGTGTTTTCTGTGCTTTTGCTCTTATAATTCCAAAGATTAAACACTTTATTGATCTTAAATATTTTGAATTACTCATAGAGCTTTTTGTTCAAGTATAATTGTAACATAACCAATGTGAATGAAGTCCTTATGCGAAATTTAATTGCATATAAAAAAGTTCGATTGAAAATAAATGAACCCAAAGTTTTATATATTCAGAGGAAGATGAAGAAGAGAGTACAGAATGCTTGGGTTGTAAACATGAGAAAGATGACTGTGAATGTCAGCAGATAATGCTATGTTTTCATGCTACAAATGCTAAACTGTAAGTCTTTATAACAAACTAAATGATTTTATATATTTAAGAAACAATATATCCCAAACAGTGATTTTTATTGCTAAATAAAATTACTGTTTGGAGTTTGGATACAAGGAATTATACAAGGGCATAGCCCAATTGATATTATGATGCGCATCCGAACGACAAACTGTGATTTCATCAAGTGATAAAATCACTGATTTGAATATATTATTTTGATTCTAACATGACATCAACAAATAAATGCTGCCGTACCTAATATCAAGCTAAATTGCGCCTGATTTGTTTCTGTACTTATATTCATTGCAGCGCATTTTTAAAGGTTAGTCACATGTGTAATGGTTACGTCTTGTGTCTAAATATAGAATGGCAACAGTGATTTGATTGCAAAAAAAACCACTTTCAGTCCTTCTATGTTCAATATGCCAGAAAAATGCGGGTTGTATTAGAATTTAGCAGTAATCTAAATGTACTGTTCTACATGTATGTTCTCAATAATCAAATCTTTATTATTATCATTTGCAAAGTGACAATGATTACAAAAATAAGCATGATATAAAAGAGATATTTCTTAGTTTCAAACAAAATAATATTTAATGATGAATGTTTATAATTTAGGGACGAGGTTGGTGTACTGGAACAGGTGTCCGGTATGTCGGTCACGGCATTAATACACGAGCAGATTCAGCAACATGTTGAGAACACGTGTAAAGGGAACTTTGAAACAGCTTATCTGGAAAGTTTAGAAAATGTATGTACATTTACACTCACATAGCTAGTATGGATTTGATATACATTCTATTAAGTGGAACTGAAAAAAAAAATATGTTAAAATACAGTCTATTAAGCAGAGCTGAAAAACTGTTACTTTAGAATGATTGCAGTATTTCTTAATTTGATGTAAACATACTTTAAAGAAAATTGTTTTGAAAATCTAAAAACTAAAATCTAAAAACTACAATGATAAGGAAAGAAATGTTTTTGTTAATGTGCATTGTACTACAGATCTTTAAAACAAACCTTGATATAATTTTCTTTCGTACAGTGGTTAGAAAATAAAGTTCTTGGCTGGTTGAAGCTTGTATATGCTGGAAACAGAACAAACATAGGTTCAGATTGTATAGAGGGATTCAAGGGCAGATTACTTCATTTTCTGTGGGAAACTTACGCCAATGTTCAGATTACACAACTGTTTAAAATTATAATTGGTAAGTGAGATCCTTTATCCAGTAGATAGTTTAATTATTAAAGTGGATTAGTCTATAATGGAAAGCCTGTAAACTAATACAACAAGAACAGGGTGATGGTGATGCTCCCCGAATAGGTTTTGGACACAGGAAAGTATACCTATTGTAGTGTCAGAGTTATGTCACAGGCAAAGCTCAAAGAGTTAAAATGAACAAAGGGCAATAATTCAAAAATTAAGCAAGGCAAAGATAAGGTACTTTTGCACTGCATTTCTTTTTAATGAGATCAATCTACCTACAAAAGTTCATGTTGATACCTTTTATGGTTTTAGAGTTATGTCCTGGACAAAGTTCAAAGTGTAAAATGAACAAAGGGCATTAACTCCAAAATTAGGCAAGGCAAAGTAATTGTTCTTTTGCAGTGCACTTCTACCCAATGAGATCTATCTACCTACAAAGTTTCATGTTGATGTCTCTTGTAGTTTTAGAGTTATGTCCGGACAAAATTCAAAGTGTAAAAATAAACAAAGGGCAATAACTCCAAAATTAGGCAAGACAGAGTTATGGTTCTTTTGCACTGCACTTCTACTTAATGAGATCTATCTACATACAATGTTTTATGTTGATAACTGTTGTTGTTTCAAAGTTATGTCCCAGACAAGAATAGCGGACGGATGTACAGACAGACGGACAAAGCGGCGACTATATGCCTATCCTTCGGGGAGCATAATAAATGAACATGTAAATATAGTAAATTAGTATCAGATATTAGCTATGTACTAGTATTTCATTAAAACAGTTTTAAGTGATATATTTTACTTTTACAGATTTCCCAGAGTCAGAACCAGCTATATTAGATCTGAAGACTTGTTTAGAGAAGACAGACATGAGAGCTCACCTTGTGTCAACACTGAAAGCCTCTCTAGAGACTAGATTATTACATCCAGGTAAATGACATAGTTATAATACATCCAGGTAAATGACATAGTTATAAATACATCTAGGTAAATGACATAATTATAATACATCCAGGTAAATGACATAGTTATAATACATCCAGGTAAATGACATAGTTAAAATTACATCCTGGTAAATGACATAGTTAAAATTACATCCAGGTAAATGATATAGTTAAAATAACATCCAGGTAAATGACATAGTTAAAATTACATAAATGATATAGTTAAAATAACATCTAGGTAAATGACATAGTTATAATACATCCAGGTAAATGACATAGTTATAAATACATCCAGGTAAATGACATAGTTATAATGACATCCAGGCAAATGACATAGTTGTAATACATCCAGGTAAATGACATAGTTAAAATTACATCCAGGTAAATGACATAGTTAAAATTACATCCAGGTAAATGATATAGTTAAAATAACATCCAGGTAAATGATATAGTTCAAATAACATCCAGGTAAATGACATAGTTAAAATTACATCCAGGTAAATGATATAGTTAAAATAACATCTAGGTAAATGACATAGTTATAATACATCCAGGTAAATGACATAGTTAGAGTTACATCAAGTTATATGACATAGTAAAGGTTATAAGGTTTTAGTTGATGATTTCTAGGTCAGAATAAAATACAAGTTGGGGCTTTTGTGGCCGAGTGGTTAAGATTGTTGACTTCAAACCACTTGCCCCTCACCGCTGTGGGTTCGAATCCGGACAGGGACTTTGGATTTTTTCATGTGAGGAAGCTATCCAGCTAGCTTACGAAACGTCAGTGGTTCTACTCAGGTGCCCGTTCGTGCCTGAAATAATGCACGGAGGGGCACCTGAGGTCTTCCTCCACCAGTAAAGCTGGAATGTCGCGATATGACCAATACTGTGTCGATGTGACATAAAACCCAAAACAAACAAACAAAATACAAGTCACCTAGGTTCAAAACTAGGTAGCTAGATTGTCATAGAGTATTGCTTGCATTTATATTAACTGTGCTTGAGCTGTAAAGCTGTTACTAGGCAGTTACAATGCCATCATGGTTTGTTTTTGAGTAATTATTATTTTTCTAAGTTTTTTCAATAATAATTTATTAAAAAGAAGTTGAGCTATATAACAACTAATACCAACAATTTAGATAAACCAAAGGTCATCAGTAAATAAATTACTTAATGTTGATGATAATTAATCAGTGTTATCTAATGTTTCAGGTGTAAATACCTCTGATATTTTGACAGCCTACATATCTGCTATACGTGCATTAAGAGCATTAGATTCTGCTGGTGTTATACTGGAACTTGTCTGTGACCCAGTTAGGAAATATCTACGGTAATTGTTTTACAATGATTATTGCCATGTTGATTGTTTTCCATGTAATATCTCAAAGTATCTGTTGTGTATTTCTTTATGTAATAAATGTCAGAAACCCTGTTTGAGGTTAAAAGTCAACATTGTTTTAAAAAATGTGCATCACATAATTATTTTGCTTTTTTATTCAACCAAGACCAAAGTGCTGTTGTATGCTTTTGTGATGTCTGCCATATGTTGCATTCCTTAATTTCTTAAGACAACATCTCCTCCTCCATGACATGGTAGATTTTGACTTAAGTTCACATGAATGATTCTTTAGTAAGTCTCTACAAAAGTTATATAAATAGTAAGTATGTCACAGGAGCTAAAAATAGACATAGATCTTACATATTTGGCATGCAGCATTTATTGTGGTCCTCTACAAAAGACATATCAATAATGACCTCATGTTCAAAATTGTTTTGTGAGTGACTATGACTATGTTTATATAGACTAACATAGGAAAACACATTTAAATCTTCATCTCTGAAACTACATGTCATAGACTTTAGATATTTTACATTAGACATTGTGTAATGAACTTTGACAAAAGTGAAATGAACTACTCAGCCTTGTTCATTAAAAGTATGGTGATAAAATTAGAACAAACAATTGTATTTTGTATCAAACTTGCCAAATATTACTTTATACTATTTTTATATCCATATATCCACTTTGTTTCTTTTCTTAGTATTATTAAATGTTCTTATCCCAACATTTCTACTTAGATACTATCTTAGATTTAACTGTTGTAACTTGTAATTGTTATATTTCTACCTGGATATAAATTTTCTAGTATTGTTATTATCAGGTCAAGGGAAGACACAGTACGATGTATAATTTCTAACCTTACTGATGATGGAAGCAATGAGTTGCTGGAGGAACTCGTCAAAGGTCAGCCAATGTTAGATGAGTCATCTCATAATGATGAAGAGGACATTGACTGGGAGAAATGGATGCCGGATCCAGTTGACGCTGACCCAGGTTAGAATCTTTTTCATCAAGGTCAATTTCACAAAGATTGTTAAATGGCCAAGTGTTTAGCATCACTTGGTGTAGAGTCACCTGTCATTCACTGTTGTATATAAGATTCAGGCTAAATACTGTGGCCTTCATAATTTTTTTCGTGTGAGGAAGCTATCCAACTAGCTTATGGAAGGTCAGTGGTTCTACTCTGATAAAACTTGAAATAATGAATGGAAGGTCTTCCCAAGATATTCCTCCAACAGTGAAGCTGGAGAATTGTCTCGACAGTACATTCTTTTAATACTTTTATTTTGTTGAGGATTTCTTGACAGAATAAGTTACTCAAAAAACAGAAACAGAGTGATGTCATTATTTGCAGTTGAATGACATCAGCTTGACAGTACTTAATATTCACTGGAACATTATCATTTCTATGAATAAAAAAAAAAATTGAACACATTTCCAATCATATTGTCAATACCTGTGCGAGGAAACAACAGTCAGTAGTTTAAATGTCAATAAACAATGCCAATCCATGTGATATAATAAACATGTGTATGTCAAAGGTTATATAATAATATACTTTGGTTTCAAACGAACCATCAGTTAGTAGAATGTATGTCAGTAGATAAATATTCTGATTTTATCTATTTTATTGATGCTATTTTCAGCTACAGCCTCAAAAAGTCGACGTGCGTCAGATATTATCAGTATGTTAGTGAACATTTATGGCAGTAAAGAACTATTTGTGAACGAGTATAGAACATTACTAGCAGACAGAATTCTTACTAACTTTAACTATGAAATAGAGAAGGAAATAAGATATCTTGAACTGTTAAAGGTATGGACACATCAATGATATTATTAAGATTGTAACATTGGGTTGCTGAGACTTTACAATTTTTTCTGAACAGAGATTAATAAATAATGCTTACTGAAGACAAATAATTGTTATTAAAAAATTAAAGGCCCATTATGCCCCAGAAATGTTTTTAATTTTATTTCTGAAAAGCATTCAGTGCTTCTTTCATTTGGTGATAAGTGTCTCATAATATGCTCTAAAACCATTATTTACACATTTGCCCATTCTAAAGATGGAAAAATTTATTCATTTCTGTATATTGTGCCTTTAAGGTAAAATGTTAGGAATTCTATTCAGCTAAATTTTATAAAGTTTAATTATTTACCCATACATGTTTTGCTGTATATACTGCATGTATTACATACACAAACACAATCAGACAGAAATAAAATTCAGTGTCAAGAAAACTCAGTTGAGTCTTTTTACAGAAAGACAAATTATGTCATTGTAGTTCTCATTATATATAATATTACATATTTCTTACAATGAAGCTATAATGATCTTTTCTTAATTTGAAGCTAAGATTTGGTGAATCTCAACTACATTTCTGTGAGGTTATGTTAAAGGATGTAGCAGATTCTAAAAGAATAAATTCTCGGATCACTGAGGATAGAAAACAGAAAGGGGAAGTTGAGGTATCATTTTGTTCAGTATGATAAATATTAAACCTAACCTAATCTCGAACCATTTACATGTTTTATGTGGCTGATTATTTTTCTCTGAAAGTGCATACGACATAATCAACTTCTGTGCACAAAAAGTTTGTTTATGACACAAACCAATGCTGCTGTCAAACAAAGACAAATGTCTTAAAAGCTAGCATTCAGAAGTTCAGAAACAAGTTATTGCAGTTAAGTTTCTTTTATAAATGATCATTTTTGAGTCGGCCTCTGGAAACTAACAGCTTTGGCGTCAAAAAGGAAGTCCTGGCTGTGACACAAGTAGGGATCGAACCCACAATCTCTGCGTCCAGGGTTGAGTAGCAGATACCTTCACTATTATGGCACCACTATGTTGTGACACAAGCAGGGATTATACCCATGAGCCCTGGGTTCAGGGTTGAGTAGCAAATATCTGCACCACTCAAAGATTATATCATACTTTGCTTATCTTGTATTATAAAAATATACATTATGTTAAGTGTTTCAAGGTGTGTGTATGATTTCTTTTTGTTTTAACAGTTACATTTAAGAAATGTTATCCAATTTTGGTTCTTTGCTTTGGACATAGATAAGATTTAATTATGTTTGTGATTATTGTTGGGGTTTTCTTGTTGTAATTGTCAAAAAGGATAAACAAGAAAGATGTTTAAAGTTAAATAAAAAATTCCCACTTTGACAAGGTTAAGTGTTAATATATTTTGTAATATTTAAAATTAACTTTTTTGATGACAGGATGTTGAGGTAAATGCACATTGATCTATCAGCCATTCTGGCCAGCTTAGATGGTAGAATGGTCAACACCTACTGTTTAAACACTATGCAGAAACTGTTAAAGGAATAATCTCACATTTGAAGCCCAAACAGGCAATGGAGAATCTTATGGATCATCATTTGGTAAGTATGAAATAAAGCAATATAAATACTATAATTTGAACCAAAAGGGTCATAGAATTTTATGTGGAATCTTATTTATTAAAGTTATGAACGATAAAACAAAAATACACATAAGTTTTGAGAAGCAAAAATGGCAATAGAACATTCTTAATTAGATACATTCATCAGTTTAGAGAACAAGTTATGAGATTAAAGTTCTAAAAATATACTCGGATAAGTTTGAGCTCAAAGAGGGCAATAGAACAATCTGTAGTTGAAACAATACATTTAGGAAGTTATGAAGATAAAAGCAAAAAATACTCATAAGTTTGAAGCCCAAAAGGGCAATAGAACTCTTAATTGGAAATCTCATTTAGGTAAGTTATGAAGATAAAAGCAAAAAATACTCATAAGTTTGAAGCCCAAGAAAACTGCAGAAATTTAGGATAGTTAATACTGAAATAAAATATAAATGGTTTCAACATACATGTATTTTATTTCAAACATTTTCACACAAATATATTTTACATGCAATAAATGATATCATTTTAATTGCTGCTTTGATGCATATTTTCTCACTTCTAAGATCTCTATTTAATATGTATATGTACTAAATCTGTTTATGATCTTTAAGGTTTGGTGAATATTGATGTAGAACTAAAGGATAGAACATTAAATTTTAATGTGTCACCAGTACATGCAGCCATCATTATGCAGTTTCAGGAGCAAGGTAGGCTAAGTTAATCATCATAAAATATTAAATGTGCAACAATGTTCTGGTTGAGGAGGAGTTTCATCATGTAACTATGTGTCTCTTAAATATAAGCTGTTAGAAAATTGAAGAGAATGATTCATTTTTATTGGCGTAAAGTGACATTATGCCTACCCAAGGGTATATTGTGAGTGAACAGGTGAAAGTCAAAATAAGTTAAGGTGACAACAGACACTTTCCGTGGTACTCACATAAATGTCATTTAAACCAAGTTATTTTAGTAATAATTGTTATTTATTTAATCGTTGTGCATTAAATGTCGTTGATCATCATAAAAAATAACATATTTGAAAAAAATGCCTTTGTAAATGATTGATTTTGAATAAAAATCCTAAAATTTTAAATCGTCATATCAAAGTCATTTTTTATTTTTTTGTCATCAAACTTTTGGAAAATAACCTTACTTATATTATCTAGGGAACCGTGTCTCAAATTTTTTCTATCTTTTCTCAAAAAACTATTACGTAACGTCAAACATTTTATGCAACTTTTTTCACCATACATATTACATAATTAAAGATAATTAAGTCGCTGATTGAGCAAACAAAAATCCCTGACACAGTTCCCTCCGTAAATGAATTTCCTTTCATGTGCTTTATACCGCATGTTAATTGCTTGATTATTAAAAAAGTTATGCCGATTCAAAGTTAGACCGACCCGCATCAAACGAAGTGTCATAAATCGGCTGTTCTCTCTTGGACCCCTACGTTTCACTCTAAATAATTGCATAATACACAAATATCGCACCAGAGAGGGTCACAAGTTGCGGTAACATATTCTAACAACATTTTATGACCCAGTGACATCTGACCAATTAAAAAGCTGCTGATTAATATCAGTTTGTAGCCGAAATTTCTTCAATTCTTAACGTTGTTTACTGTCCGTCTGGTATCTGTCGCACATGTCACGTGACTATCGGTAAAATTTGAGGCACTCAGTGGGGGGAAATGGAACGCATTTGCGCACCGCTAGCGGGGTATTTAATTGTTTCCTTTTTGAAGTTTATTATTATTATCATCAGCATTATTATTATATTATACCAGTGTCACTCTGCCTGTGTATTCGTGTATGAAATTCCGTTGAAATATAAAATAAAATAACAAAAAAACTGAGCTTCTGACAGTCTTTTAAAGTCCATGGTAGATGTACAAATAAGAACGGGATATTATATATTTTTTCCACCAAATTGATAATGCTTCACATATTTTAATAGAAATAAAAGGTATTACTCGATCATTATGATCTGGCCTTCTTGACTTCTATTATGAATATCATCTATGCACGGAATAGAGATACAGTTTCTACCGGGATAGACAATAAATTTCATACTTTGTCCCAGATTTACTGGCGAATAATTTATTTTCACTGAGAATATATTTTAATATCTTTTTTATTCATACAGAAATAATCATCCTTAGACAATCTAAAATGGTTTAGAAATTTGTCAGGGACACCTTACCACAAGTCATATATAGGCGTTCACATAAAAAATGTTGTCTGTTTTTGTTGTTGTTTTACTTGACATTGTTAGAAAACGAGGTTGAATGTAAAGTAAGCCCTTGAATCCGTACAAAAGTCTATCAACTCAATGTAATATCTATCAGATTAACGGGACAGACAAATTATTTTCACACATTATGGATATTTTAGCAACTACATTTTTAATCAACCCCGTGGTCGTGCGATTTGCCGCTATGCTTAATTATTTATGTTTCATACATTATGTTACGTACATTGGCCGACAATTTCTTAATTTATAAAAAAGGCTAAATGTTGAGATATTCATAAAAGATGTACGGTAGTTGTACGATACATGTATTACGAGAAGTATGGACCAGTATGGACCTGTAATTCACGGATATATGGAACTACCGATTTCCCTCATTGATGCCTCAACAGGGGGCGGAGCGTTATCGATAATCGACAGGTTACGCGAATAGCAGATACAAATAGTATAGGTACCATTTTAAAACGTTTAAAAACACATTTTTGGACTAACTGCTTCCAAAATTAAATCACGAATGTGTTCAGAAAAGGTTGATAAATCTACTTAGCAAAAAATCTCATTTTAGGTATTTTCAGTGATAATTGACTCAGTTGTCACCTTAACAATTTACCATAAATACTTTAAATTACATGTATACAGTTTCCTTCGCATGAACGATAAATAACTCACATGGCCAAAGGAAATTTATTTCTAAAAAATATCGTCGGTGGTTCTACTCAGGTGCCCGTTCGTGCCTGAAAAAATGCACAGAAGGGCACCTGAGGTCTTCCTCCACCAGTAAAGCTGGAATGTCGGGATATGACCTATACTGTGTCGGTGCAACGTAAAACCCAAAACAAACAAATTTCTAAAAAATATCATTAGAGTTTATCTGAAGCATTCAATTTATAAAAAGAGTTGGGCAGTCTTTTAATATTTTATGCAGGTTTAATTTCATCCTAAACATTTTCCAACATCAGCTGTTGATCAGTCATCATTAAACAGTCATTCTTTTGAAATAATAGTCAATTCAGCTCAGCTTTACAATGAAACAATGTGCATAATGTCACTTTAAAATGTTGAAATTGTGGAATTATTAGGGAGCCAATACTATTTGTCTGTTATATAATACAATGTAATTATTCTTGTCACTTAACACATCAGTGTCATAGCTTATTGATAATCACCATAATGCTTACAATAACTGGCCTATGCCAGAGACAGTTCACTTATGTCTGGCATCACTATACTGTTGGCTTTTTGATCTTGAAACAACCTAAGATACAATAGATGTTGCTAAATTTTAAGCAGTGTAAGGTTATTGTACAAGTCAATCAGGGTTAAAGTTAAAAAAATTATGAATATGAAGTAATGAGTCTAAAAAAAATAACATGCTGGTAATGGATAGTTTTGTCTATGATTAACATTCAGATTTTATATTATTTATGTTCACAATAGAAAGATGGACAGTAGAAGATCTTAGCAGTGCTCTGCAGGTTCCAGCTACAGCCCTAAGACGTAAGATTGCTTACTGGCAAAGTCAAGGTCTGTTAAAGGAGGAGCAAACAGACACATTTCTATTGGTTGAGGAACACAAAGGGCGGAGTCATGACATCATGATTAATGAGGATGAAGAGGCGGAGTCAGCAATGGCGTCAGCCCATGCTCAGAAAGAGGAGGAGCTACAGGTATGGAAATAAGATTGTATAATTAATTGTCATGAATTTAAGAATACATTGATCCATGGTATGGGCTTAAGTAAAAAGCAATTGGTAGGAAAACTTTAGCGGAAGCTTTGATATATTTTATAGACAAATTGTGCATTAACGAAACAAGAAACCTAATTAATGATGGTAGCAAAAAAAGTTTTGAATACTGTAAAATAGTAAGTAAAAATTAAAGCAAAATGGAAAAAAGATGTTTTGATATTTAAAAGAAAATAGACTTGACACCAAAATTAATGGCAGAGTAAATATAATTTAGCTGCATAATTCAAAGTCTTAAATTTTTATGTTATCAAAGTTCATAGTTAAAAGGCGAAAGTAATTTTTATTTCAAATCTTAAAGTATTTATTTTTGTTTTCCGCAGGTATTCTGGACATACATAGTGGGAATGTTATCAAACTTGGAGTCTTTACCAATAGAACGTATTCACAGCATGCTGAGAATGTTTGCCATGCAAGGAACGTCTGGTGAAATTACTATTCATGAACTGAAACATTTTCTTGACAAGAAAGTTAAAGACCAGATTCTTGCTTACTCTGGAGGGGTTTATAGACTGCCCAAGACTTCATAATTATATATGTGATTTATTGTAAGCAAGTTATGCCAACTGTAAATTTTATGACAATGTGTGATCTCCTAAATTATCAAATTTGAAACTTAAGATGATAATGTAATCTTCAAATTGATAATGAGTTTCTTAAATCTGAAATTGTTAAAAGTATGCCCTAGAAATCATCAACAAGACAATATTTTTTAATTCTTTAGAAATGACAATCATGTTTTTAATAGTAATTGTATAACAACTGTTTATCAACTGAAGAAAGTAATGTTGAACATCCAGTAATGTGTCGAAAATGTAGCAAAATATTAACATAATAATATTTTGACTTCCATACAAAATTCTAATTTAATATAATTGTAATGACTACCACCAGAGCTATAGTTGTAAGAGATAGCCATTGTATATGGCAAATGAGTAGTTCTTTGAAAATTGAAACAAGATAACAAAAATTATAAGATTTTGAGAAATAGAATTGGTAGCATTTCTGAGGCATAATAAGCATGTATACTCATTATGTTTACTTTAAGGGGAATATTTCAAATGTAAAAAAAAAACCTTTTCCCAGACCAGTTTTGAGGATTGTCTTAAGACTTAACCTTTATGTCCCAAATTTTTAGTATAGTATTGCTGCAGATTTGAACTTTTGTTGGTTTTTTCTATGAGAATTATTGACTATGTGTAACTGTGAGGAGGATTGTGTTGTTAAAGTTGTTAATATGTTAAAATGACATTGATAGAATAAAGTCATGCTGCAAGATATAGAAACATTGTCTTTTATTTATTTTTTTTCTCTCCACAATTATGATTATTTGAATGTGTCCCATTCCTGAACAATATTTTGAAAAAGATGTGACATGTTTGTCTTTATATGGTAGTAGGAGAATTCTATGACCACTTTCTTTGCAGTTGTAGTGTAAGAGAGTAATTGATTGGAATTGGAAATATTTTATAGTGAATTCTAAGTATGTCAAACATGTGAATTGGTGTAAAAGTATAATTACACATCAGTGATTGTTCCTGATAAATGAACTGAAGGCCAAGACCTGCAATATTCAGAATATCACAAAGTTATAATATTTACAGTTAATATAAATATATTTTCCAGTCAATAGTTACTTTGTATTGATTAACTACAAAGAGACGTATTAAGTGAATGTATAAAAATTTGCTAAAAAAGTAATTACATTGAAAGAAAAATACAGACATATAATGTGGATACATTCACAAATTATTGCAATATTCAGAATATCTAGCTAACCAAGCTAATGTATATTGGAGTTTGTATTAGTAGTTAACTGTGCTATTTACAGTACCTCATCAGTGTTGGAGGAACTGTGCTATTAACAGTACCTCATCAGTGTTGGAGGCTTGAAGAAAAGGGATGGATAGCTAAATTATTGCTTCAAGTTTTTATGTCTATATCACTTTCCTCAACAATATCATTTGAACAATATCCTTAACAGCATTTTCAGAAATTCTGACACATTGTGACAGACCCTTGCTGACACTTTAATGTACCATATTACCAAAAGTAGGGCAATTATTGACAAAGGTAACGACATTTATAATAGCAAACAGAAATTTATAAAACTTTGCACCATTAAAGAGACCGTAATAGAAACAAAATGATGAAAGAAAAAAGGTATCCAGCCTATTTTTTGGCTTAAACTAAAAAGTGTATGGCATTGATTTTTTTCCATTTGATATATAATAACAACATAGAAGATTAGCTAAACCAATACACAATGATAAGTTTCTCAAATGCAGTTATTTGATAGATCACAGCACAATTGATTTTATTTTTATTTCTGAAAAATGTGCCAACAGTTTTAACTAAAATGAATAGTTTATCATCATGTGACTTGTTTGCTTTTATTAATTTGAAAGTTATTCTAAAAGAAGGAAACATCCATTGGTTGACCTTGTTTTCATACATTTTACTTACCTAGACTTTTGTGTTCACTGCTACGTTTCAATGATATGCTATGGAAAGTTATGATTTAGTTATACCTGCACGTACAATACGTTACGGCGTGAAACAGGTTTTAGACGAAGTTTATTGTACTTACTTAACCTTCAGCTGTTCAGGAGACCGGTAAGTTTTATTTTTTTACTGTGCATCTCTGCCAAAAGGGAAGTCCTTTGTTTATAATATTTGTTTTAACAGTTTTAAATTTATCTATAGGTTTTAGCACCAGTACCAGTTTGGCAAATATATTTGTTAAGTTTATACATGAATCTATAGTATTACGAAATGTTTGTCGATTTGTACTTAAAAATTTCGTACCAAAGAATTGCAATATTTGGGCCACCAAAGAATAGCAATATCGTGCCCATTGTTGGCAAACTGCATGATGTTTATGAAGAGCATATGAATATATACTGTTATTATGGTGGTAACCAGACAAAACATTTCTGTCTAAAATTATATTGTGCCTAATATATTGATATTGTATTAAAAGTCACAATTGTCAGTGATTTCATATTTCTCTGTTAAATATATACCTTTTTATTCAAAAGGTATTGTGTTTAAATTTGGAAGTGGGCAAGTTGCTTGTCCCTTCAAACTATATCCCAGGTTTTATGGATTGAAGCTGATACAATAAACATTTCTTTGAAACTTTCAGTCTAACTCTAACTCGCATACTGTAGGGGAAAAAATGTTGTAATATAGAAACTTAAAAAATGTTTCATATACAATCAATAATATTATATTTCAGAATATGGCAAGTGAAAGGAGACTTCTGATACTGTTTGGCAGTCAAACTGGCACTGCTCAAGATGTTGCAGAGAAAATTTCAAGGGAGGCAAGGCGGAGACATTTTCTGCCAAAAGTTGTGGCCCTTGATTCTTATAATATTGTAAGAATCTTCACCTTATGTGCTTTTGTTACAATCTTCGTATTAATTCTTGAAGAAATGTCATGATCCAAAACAAATTCAGATGAAATTCTTTTTAATGTTTATTAATTTTATAACCACAAATTTAAATGTTTGTAAATATCTGAAGGTAGACAAAAAAAATTGGTTTAATATCTCACCAGTGATTTCATCTAATACTAGTAACATTACGCTTATGGTTGCTAAGCAACAAATTTCATTTTTATGTCTTTATCACAGAAGTTTTGTTACAACTAAAAAATGATGTTATGGTGACTATCTTTTGACCCTAATCAATGTCATCCTATTTTCCTACAAGCAGAAGGAAGTTGTATAAATTCTAAAATAGCGATTTGGCATCTCTTTAGAATAAAAAATCTGCTTTTTGAATTGAATGAATGAAATGATTAGCTCCTTATCTCAACATAGAACATATATAAACATTAGTAAGATGATATACACAGTAAAATCACACTAAAAATTGGCACGCCCCAGTCAGGACTTGAACCACAGTTCTCTGGATTGCTGGTCCATTATGCAAACCACTACACAACAGTGGCCGTTAATTTTCTTTATGCTAAATGGACTTATGTACTGTAATACTAATTTGACTTATGTACTGTGATAAGTAAATATTTATTTTCAGGCTGAACTGATACAGGAGAAGCTAGTAGTTTTTGTCTGTTCTACAACAGGTCAAGGAGATCCTCCAGATAATATGACTGTAAGTTGATATGTATATAGTCATAGAGTATTAGAACAAATGTAAACAGTAAACAGGTCCTGACTTTAAAACCTGGGACTCACTGTGGATTCTTTTTTGTGAGGAAGGTGTCCAGGAGGGTCAGTGCTTGTGACTACAGTAGGGATAAACCCATGATCCCTGGAATGAGAGGCAGACACCTTAACCTCAAAGCAACCAATCCTCTTAATTGTCAAAAAAAAAAATAATAGGAATTATAGAAAGGGTATTTTCTAATGTTTGAAATTTTATCCTTGTCTTTATTTTGTACTTTTACAAAGATATTTTATATACTTACCCACAGTATAAGTAATATATAGTTCATACTTGCAGACATTTTGGCGATTCATCATGAGAAGGAATCTACCTAAAGATTCTCTAAACCAGCTATCTCATGCTGTACTGGGACTTGGGGACTCTTCTTATCAAAAGTAAGTTATCACATTTTATTGATGCATAGTGTACATTATACTTGATGTATTTACTTGATATTTCTTGATAAACTGTTATGTAGTAGATGCAAGAAAATTAATATCTATTTGCATTCTAACTTCTAATACATGTAAAGTAAATTAAAATATGTTCTATGTTTGAATATATGCCATGCCCAAGGGACCTTGACCCTTGTAGTCTTGAGCTGATCAATGTCATGCTTCTGTGAAGTTGAAAGGCTATAGGTGGAAAGACTTCCATGTTATGGTCAAGGTTAAAGTTTTGTGACTAAAAAACAGGCAGATAAACTGACGGCCCAAAAATAATATGCCCTCCTGAGCTATTGATCCATTGGCATGAAAAAATCTGTTTATTTTGTTATATCAACTTCAGATTTAATTTTGTTGCTAAAAAACTGCACAAGAGGTTGCTACAACTGGGAAGCACAGAGGTGTTGAATGTAGGACTTGCTGATGATTTACATGATCTAGGGTAAGTTATTGATTATTACAATGCTGCAGATTTTTAGGATTACTTATAAGTTAAGTGCTGATGATTTTAGTCAGTTTAAGTGTGTTTTAGTTTTGCTGATGATTTACATGATCTAGGGTGAGTTAAAGTGTAGTGTCTATCTGCTTATGATTAATATGATGTAGCGCAAGTTATAGTGTCTTAATTTTGAATGATCAAGGCTTAGTTTAAGTGTTTTTAAGTTTTGCTGATGATTTACACAATCTACAGTAAGTTGTAGTGTATAAGTTTATGACAAGGGTTACTTTTCTGTGTAAAACTGATCTTTACTTTTCTTTCATTGTTTCAGAGCAGATGCTGTAGTATATCCCTGGATGGAAAACTTATGGGAGAAATTATTGGCTATGTATCCTTTAGAAGATGGTCAGCAAATTATACCACCACATGTCAGGTAAATTATCCCTCCAGATTTATTCTGTAAATCATTATAACAATAGTATATGTGTAAAAAAATTTGTATTCACATATGATGTATGCATGTTAGAAATATCCAACAGGTAAAATTATATATACATATACAATATGAGAAACTTGTAAATGGTAGTAAAGTAAGATTTTATACTTTGTTGAGCATATTAATATCTCAATATTGTAAATTACTCCTAATCCTGTTTATTATTTTGTATGGGATATTTAAAATTTCCTTTATATTTCAGACCAGCTGCAAGATTTAGTGTGACTTTCTGTGATGGGAAAGACAAAATATTAAATGTTGTAACCAATGGAAATATAGAATGTGGCAGGGATGCAAGAGTACCAACCTGGTTCCCAGCTCAACCTTTTCCAGCAAAACTGATCTCAAATGAAAGAGTAACCTCCCCTGATCATTTTCAGGACACAAGGCTAATACGTCTTGATATAACGGGGTCAAATTTAAGGTAATGATAGGGATTGATAAAATGTTATGACAGGTTCTATTATATTTTAAATAAAGATCAGCTTTAGACAGAAAAGTAAGTAGACTATCATGGGAAATATGATAGTTTGTTTTATCAGCAAATTTTCCCACCACATGTCATGATTAACATGGTGTAGGGTAAGTTATAGTTTGTCTTAATTTTGCTGATGATTAACATGATTTATGGTAGGTCATGTAATCATTACTTGAGTTTTACTGCTGACGATTTGAATTTTATGTTATCAACTAACATAGCTAATA